CATGGATACAAGATGATGCATTTGAAATGCATTCAGTCTGGCTACGTGGTGACTCAAGAGACGATCAGGAGACTGCTGAAAATATATGACCCATTGGCGTATGTAGCAAAATTGAATCCAGGCCCAAACTTTTGTGGCATGTAGACTCGTATGATAAACTCAAACCGTACGGGATCTGCATCAATGGTCAATAGATGGGTTTCACGAATGGTGATTTGGCTACATGCTTACTCTACTAATAGTGATCCCAAGATAATCGCGCAATACTTCATTGATGAGGTGTCATCAAGGAATGGAACTGCTGCCCGAATTCGTTCGGACCTCGGAACCGAAAACTGTTACGTTGAACAAATGCAGATGTTCTGAGGCACGATCATCTGGACAACTTTTCCACAGATGTTATCTGTATGGATCGAGCAATCACAACCAAAGAATAGAGAACTGGTGGGGCTTTTTAAGAAGGCAACACGCACAGTTCTGGATGAACCTGTTCCAAAATTAAAACTCAGACTCCTTTCGGTGACTTCCTGGACAAAAGTCTCATTCAGTTCACATGTCTTGAAATAATAGAGGTAAGAACTGCAATACGTTTATGTTGTTTTTTTCCTATAGTGCTATATTATGTCAGAACAATACTGTGACACCTGCTTAGGGGTTAAAGTATTCAGATGTTTTACTTCACCAAAAGCAGTAGTACCACCCTGTGTAGTGGGTTCGTTTTAGTGTAGTGTTACTAATATCATAGGCCTACTGATATTAGTGAAAAGAGCTCACCCATGTAGGCTTTATTCAAAACCTTACTAAAGTAAAGGGACAGTATTATCAGCAGTATATATTCAAAGTACTTAAAGTATGAAAAGTATAAAATGTTCCCTGTCAGTGTTTTGATGTTTTTAATTGCATGATAGTTTACGATTGCAGATGTTTAAGTTGGAGCTGATTTGAACTACATTACTGGCTAGTTTAATGCATTATAATATCTACTGCAGTTGGTATAGCAAATGTTCGACCTGATTTTCTCACTTTCTATTTTTATTTTTATTTAGAGAACTGATGGGTTGTTCACCCTGGAACACTCACAGAATTCGCCCATGCAGAAATGCTGTGTCTCCAGGTGGGCGCCCAGTGATATGTACACCCACCCCAACTTTGGTGCCAGAGAGTACCGAAAAGGTATCCCAACAAAAGATAGAAGCCTGCTTAGAGGAATGCCTTCAGAGAGGACCGTATCCCTGTATGATACAGTGTTTGACATTTGCTCCCCATGGCAAAAACAGTCTTCATCCACCCATCTCTCCAGAGAAGCTATTCAGCTTTACAGGTTCTTACGTCTTAATACAAGCTCAAATTTAATGATCACAACCTGCTCTACTGGATCAAATGACTGGATGTAAGCCTCCACATAAGGGTAAAAATCTATGGACCATGAATTTCACTGTATAGGGTATTGTGTTTAAACAGTAAATAACTGTGAACTCTTACTATGGACATCTCCCCTTTGTGCTTGTATATCCACTTTCTATTAATTATGGAAAAATTACACATCAAAATAAGTGCTTACAGTCCAAAACAGCAAAAGCAGCAAAACAATTACATGTAACAAAATTTGGTGAATATGTATGCATCTAAAATTAGTTGGTGATTATCATGTCATCTCTCAAACATATAAACAGATCACACATCATTTTCTTATGTATTTGAATGAAATGTCATTCTACAAATTTATGTTGAAATGCAGTTGTCATTAAACTTTCAGCAAATGAAGCATATATTATCTTTTATTAGGGCATGCATCTTTCCTTGAGTTTACACACATTTGATAACTTTAACATTTCACAATACAAGCACCCCATAACAAAAGGACATCTTCAATTTTAAGATTGTGGGTGGAAACATATCATGTCTCACAGAGCAGGACTCCGACTACATGACTCAACAGTAAAGACAGTCTGTTTGAAACGTTGTACAAAATAAACACAACCTGTGATTCTATTTGTAAAAAACACCTCAAAGTACCTTTTAATGTAACAATCAGATTCACAAACACGTCAGTATTAACATCGACATGAGGTAGAGGTTCAAATGATATTATGACTTAACAGTGAAAATATAACAAAAGTATTTCTAATGTCCAAACATTCTCATCCTAGACTGATAACAAAAGTGTCTTAAATCAAAGTAAATTGTTAACTGTTTCTGATATGATAGAAAAAAATATCCAAAATTAAAAATCAATCTGTGTTTATCACACAGCCCGAGCTAGTCACATATTCTCTTTACATGCTCTGATAACCAAAAATGTCAAGTAAGTCTGTTAAGTTTTGTTTCTGATATAATAAAAATAAAATCTGAAAGGTACAGTAGATAGTTGATTTTGGGGAGATCTCTTCCATTGGTGTGTTTCTCTTGTCCAGATTCTGTTGTGTTTTCATGTTGCACATCTGTCTGTATATCAGCTCCTTCCTCTGGGTCATCTCCACTGGTCAGGGTCTTTGTGAACAAATAAAATCTTAATAACCCCAATTTGTGTGTCTCGTGTCCCCCTCCTCTCCTTCCTGAAAGTCAACTACATCGTGACTGAACTCTTCCCACTTTCCCATTATTGATTTTCATTAGGGAAAAACAGTTTTTAGTTTGTGCCAGAATCTCAGTTTTAGTGGCATTCTTGTTAATATCAAGAACTCTGGTTCCTCCACCACTGCGTTTTCTGACTTGTCTGTTGTCATGTATCCACGCTAATTCTATTTTTCTGGTTGTCTTCCAGGCTCTCTTATTACTTTTTAGACGCATATTTGTTGGTTGCACTGTATTCTCCTCCACAAAACTTTGATCGCTGTCTTTGTTGCTCATTGTGCCCATTTTTTTTTAGTTTTGGAATAAGGACAGTCTTTTGTATCATCTCCACCTCTTCTCTGTTTTCCATACAGAAACGCCTTGGCAATTGACCATAGCTGAATGTAGGAGGCCATAGTGGCATCATCTATTTCTCCAATTATCGAGCTGTCAATCTGCAATAAAAACAAAAATATACATTAGACAGAAATTTTTTTTCTTTAAAATCCAACCAATTTTCCTAATAAATAACACAAGGGAAAAACAGCTTAACTATAAAAATTCAGAATTTATTCCTTCTGCTAAGTTTATAATACATCAACAGTAACTTGAAAGGGTACCTAATCCTGTTCACCTATGTTTTAGGTTAAAGTCATTTTTTTTTTAATTTATTTTAAATTGTTTTTTTTTTTTTTTTTTTTTTTTTTTTTTAATTTTTTTTTTTTAAAAAAATTTTTAATTTTTTAAAATTTTTTTATTTTTTTTTTTTTTTTTATTTATTTTTGACAGTGTTGCTCTAACTGTTCTTATACCATGTACATCATCTTATGATCATGATGTAAACATTGCATCTAAGTTATCAAATTGATTCATTTGTTGCACATTAATATTATTAAAAAATTTTTAATTTTTTTTTTTTTTTTTTTTTTTTATATTTTTTTTTTTTTTTTTTATTTTAAAATTTTAAAATAATTTTTTTTAAAAATTTTTTTTTTAAAATTTTTTTTTTTTTTTTTTTTTTTTTTTTGTTAATGTTGTTTTCTCCCCTCCAGGCTGCATTGTTGGAAGGGATGCTTGACAAATGAAAATATTTGAACCTCTGGAACCCTTTGTTGTCAAAATATAGGCATCGTTTGAAATTCAGTAAAATATAAAAAATATAGTTGGGAAAATTATTTTAAAAAATATACCCCACTCCCTGTGACTTACATGATCTGCTGCATTTTCTGAATACTCTCCTCAAAACACCTCTGTTGCGAAAATATCAAACCATCACTTTGTGGGAGGGCAGGGGTTGAGGATGTAGCCATTGCTGGCACTGCAAAAATGGTTGGAAAAAAAAATTTTTATAAATATTTTTTTTTTAAAAAAATAATAAATTTTTAAAATTCCAAAAAAAAATTTTGTTTTTTTATTGTTGGATTAAAAGAAAAATTAAAATTTTTTTTTTTAAAATGGGTGTTTCATGCACGATTCTTCCTCACTGTGTTTCAGGTATGCATGCATATATTAAATTGCCTCCAGGAAATAGCAAGGAGAGGGAGCCCATAACAAACCACAGCAACCTCAGCAACTCAAAACATCGTCATGGTGCGTCAATGATGTCAATATATAGTGACTAGTCTACTGGCCACGTCTGTTTGTATGCATTTTTTTTTTTTTTTTTTTTTTTTTTTTTTTTTTTTTTTTTTTTTTTTTTTTTTTTTTTTTTTTTTTTTTTTTTTTTTTTTTTTTAACTTTTTTTTTTTAAATTTTTATTTTTACTTTAATTAATTTTTAGATTTTTTTTTTTTTTTTTTAATTATTTTATTTCCCTTTTTTTTATTTATTTTTTTTTTTTTTTTTAAAAAACCGGTTTTTTTAAGAGTTGGAAAATTTTTTTTTTTTTGTGGTTTGGGAGTTTTTTTTTATTTTTTTGTTTTTTGGGGTTAAAAAGTATCTCGAAAAACAGGGGGAAAAAATTACCACGAAAAACAAGGAAAAAATTACTCAGAAAAACAATGAAAAAATTATTAAAACAAAAAACATACAAACAGAAAAAAAAATTACTCAGAAAAAAACGAATTATTTTCAAAAAAAAAAAAAAAAACAAACAAAAAAATAAATTACCAGAAAAAACTGAGTTTTTTTTTTTTCCCAGGTGAATGCAATACGCTTCCGTCCTAGACCCTAGTCCTGTGGCTGGGTGTGAATATTTTTTTAGCCACTCGAGTTGCAATTATTGGATGGATTGCCACCTAACACAAATTCAGTTTCCCCACAGGATGAATCCACAGGAAGTTCCCCTTACTTTTCAGCTAGTATGAAAGTCTTCACTCTTCTACCACACAGCTCGTAGGATAATTACTTAATTACTGTCAACCTTAGCAGAGAATAACTGGAAAGCTGTGACATTAGGATGCTGACATGCTAATCATTAGTCTGCTGCTCAAATCAATTATGCTAAATGTGAGTGTAATTCTTTTTTATTTGATATAATTTACAGTCAAAATCTGTAAATGTACAGCTCTACTTCGTGTTAACCCATTTATTTGACTAATATAGGCTATTCAAGCATTATAAAATGTCAACACAGAGCTTTCTTATTAGAAATGTAGGATTTATCTGCAGCATACAGGCGTTAAAGGTCACTGAGTCTGTGAAGTTTCTCAATATTGAATCTAACATGTTGGACTGGACTGGTACCAGTCTGTTGAGTCAGCATCAGAATATAAATCACTGTACAAAGGAATAAAGATTGTAAAATTAAAAAAAGTATAAACATAAGTGTGTAAAAATCAAGTGCCATGTATAATGTGGGCCTTCCATTGCCCCATTAAAAGTCATATAATACATGTGACATGCAGATATACAGTACATAAATTATTCTCTATTAATGTACATTATATACAAGTCAGATCCACTAAACAGTCTGTTCTGTCCTTCTTGGATCAGGGCGCTCATCGGTTTCTGTGCTGGCTGTTGAGCTCGTTGAGGATCACATCCATACTGGGGTCTTCATCAGCTGTGATTGTTCTGTCTTCAAATGGGCTACCTGTAACACAGCACTTCTTCATTATTTCTGATAGATAAAACTATTTTATTTTATACAAAAGCATCATCTGAAATCATAATATATATAATAATAATAATAATAATAATATATTATTATATTATTTTTTACAATTTTAAGCCAGTGAGCCCTCGTCAAACATCAGACTAAACACATGTCAATTCAAGGTAAATTGGGATACTATATTCAATGAGCTACAGCAGTAGATAACACCTGTTTATGACCCAGTTTTGCAGATTGAGCAAATCCTGCTACTAAGACCTACCTAAAGCTTATTTAGTGTATGAATCAGTAGTCTAATCGTGAGTCTCATTGTTATGAGTTACAAAACATCTCACTGTCAGGGGGCTGTAACTTGCACAATCACAATCGCAGACTGTCTTCACTTACCAATGCCGTTAAGCTCTGAAGAGTCGCTGACGAGGAAAGTAGAGGAGTTGGATGAATTGTTGGACGTGGAGGAGTTGGAGGAATGAAGAGATGTTACTCTGGTCACTGATGACTTCTTCACAGTCTTCTGTGTTGCAGTGCGACTCCATTCTGTGAAAAGAAATTCAACAAGGTCAAATGCAATTAGGTTAATTTCTCCAGTGTCCTTGACCAAGGCACTGGCTCAGATGTGGAGTTGGTCCCTGGGTGTTGTACAGTGGGTGCACACTGCTGTACTTAGGATGGCTTAAATGCACTGGACAAATTTTATTATGCCGTGCATGATTGGTGTATAAGGTTGATTTTATTCCACTGAATCTTTTACTTTGAAAGAATAGATGTCCACATTCAAAGGAATCAGAAACCAAACAGAAGGATACATGAGTGTGCAAATGAAATGTGAAGTGAACATCTCTAACCTGAGTTTTCTGCTAGTCTCATTCTGCCACAGCACAGGTAGGTCCTCCACTGCTTTCTCACATTTTCCTTTACCGCACAGTGGAACACAAATATAAAGAAACCTACGAAACAGAAACAGATACACCAAACGTTTTACAATGTGGTGTACAGTGTGTGTCAGTGTGGACATGCAGGTAACAGACAAACAAACACTTGAGAGCCTATGAAAAAATACTTTTTAATTAACATTACAAACACATGGGGGTCATATTGGTGTGTCAGCCGGTACACAGTTGGTCTACATTTGTCGTATTGAATTGTTTTACAGTTGTCTGGACCTGCAGTTTTGCAAGAGATGATTTCTTTAGGGCTCAATTTTTTTTTTTAAACTATCAAAGTGAAAAAAGGTTGACCTATTAAAGACAAAATGAGGGAGAACATTAAAATTATTACCTAAAATGTCTGCAGTAAACATCGATTAGAGTTTACAGGGCAACTTCATTTTTGACTTTGACCTACTCTACTTGCCGAAGTTGTGCACACTCGCGCATTTTCTTATGCATGAGGGATTACTACTGACATTGCCTCATGTGCCCTTACTTTGAGTTTTATCACCAAACCAAGTGGTTTAGATAATCTGGCTAAAGTGTTAGCATGTTGTACAACCAGTGTGATGCAGTTTCTTTCCCTGCTGGAATTATATTGCCATTGCCAAGATTTCAGCAATTCTTTGGTAAATAAAATGTCACAAAACCGATTAAAATGATGGCCTAATCTGAGTTACCCAAATCCAATCTACCCAAACAAAAATGTATTTTGACCCAATGACAGAACAAAAGTTTTACATTTCTTTTTACCTTTCACCATACCTGTCAAAAATTATGTGTGAATGACCATAGAGTACTCGTTAAAATTAACACAGTATTATGTTATGCAGTGATTTTTAGTGTGTACAAATAAAGGACCCAAGTTGTAATACGCTCAAATGGTCCTCCTTTTCCTGTGGATCCCTCATGGTTACAAAAATGACTGTACCCAGGCTTTACTTGACCCACTATAATGTGAACAACCAGACCCAAATGAGTCAACTCACCTTGCAAGGAGTTAAAGATGGCAAAGAGGTACATGAATGGCAGGTTAACGGGCCCCCAGGCAAAAAAGGCAAAGCCCCAAGTGAGGCCCAGGAGGATGGTTATCCCCACCACACTGCGCGCATCCTGCATTGTGGTGCGGTGACTCGAATTGTGAGGGTTCTGCCTCTTTATCCGACACAGCTGCACCAACACCACAGTAAACATGACAAGGTTGAAGAGAAAAATGACACAGAAATAGGCCACCACTGCCACATAGAAGGCGATGTCATTTTTCAGCCAGCAGCTGTGGGAGAAGATAGGGTGGAGGATGGTGGATAATTAAAGGGTTGGTTTTGTGCAGGTTATATATCATGTATCTTGGTATTCGTGGAATATTTTGAGTTTGTGTAGAATAATGTTCATGTAACTGCAGATAAACTGTCAAAAGACTCACAAGTCATCACTAGTGCCATCAGGAAACTTCCCATAGGAGACAAGGCCGTAGTTATCCTTGTCAATCGCAATGACAATAATGACCACAATCATTGGGACCCCCCAGCCGACCAGAGAGAACTTGAGCATGTAGTGTGATATGTAGCTATTGAAGACTTTCACAAGGGCCAGGTACATGTGGACAGCCTCAAGTCCCATCCAGGTGAAGGTAACAAGCAGGAAGTAGTGAAGGAACCAGGCAGTGGAGATGCAGAGGCCCACGGCGTCCGGGTAGAGCGCCAGCCACGCATCCACCAAGAAGACCAGGTTCAGCAACAGCAGTGCCGTACACAGCTGGATTAGGATTTTGGATGGAATGTCCTTACGCAACTTCCTGCAGTGTTCAAATGGTGTAGACAACATTAAACATCTCAGTCACCTGTCACATGCATTTGTGAACTCTAGTGGTAATAAACAACAGTCTGAGAGACAGAATAATATATCTGTTATATATGTCGTAATTTGGTTGGTGTTAATCAAGAATGCAGCTTTCACTCTTATATGTAACAGTTGCACAGGCAAGTTTTTGTTCAGCATTGTACATCACAAGATGATATGGCATTAGATCGGAATTTGAAAAGTTGAGAAACGTCTTTTAAAATATGTCTGCACTGTTTTGGTATTGGATAACTAAAAGAGACAAGAATCCAAGACACTTAAAACCATAAATTAGTTTAAAAAATGTTGTTGTAACATGGCCAGAAACCAAAGTGTTTAAAAATAAATTTTTGGGGGATTTCTGTCTTTTGCTGGTTGGGATGAAAATAAACAGGAAGCGGGGGGGGGGGGGGGGGGGTCTAACCCACTGCAGCAAGGACTCAGCCTTGGTACATGGGGCGCCAACTCTATCAAGTGAGCTATCAGGGTGCACCAGGAAGTGTTTAACCTTTGGTGACCATTCATGCTACTTCAGCGGTAATTGCTGCGTGTTGGATATGTGTAATTTATCTCATGGCTCTCACCCAAAGGCCAAGTAGGTGAGGAGCGTGATAGACAGGAAAATGGCAGATATTCCACAGCCAATATACGTGATGAAGGTAAGGATGGTGGCCTGGAGACGACTGGTTAAAGGCTCTCTGGAGAGGTCCTGTAGGAAAAAAAAGAAAACGAAGTTACAGACGAGTGGAATTGTGTTTAGAATTAGGATGGGAAGTATTATTATTTTCACCAAACAAAAGGATGCAAGAAAGCGATCTGAAAAATGATCTTCTTCTTACCAGCAGGATAGCAAAGCTGGTTAAATGGTTGCAGCCACAAATTGTCTCATTGTCTGTGCTGTTTCGGACAGAACAGCCATTTGAATTCCAACCACCTGATCCGTCTGCAAGTAAAAACACAGATGCACCATAATTTCATGTTTTGTTTTTTGTATATTCACTTAATTCTGATTTACTGTCCATTGTTATAAAGCTTACCATTGAATGTAAAGTCCCAAAAAACACATTGAGCCACAAAGTTACCCTGTAGTTTGGGAAAAAGAGTTTGTATCAGTTTATGATCTCTAATCATGTTTCTTTTTCTCTGTTGAGAGTGACAGCTGCTACTCCTCCAGCACATTTGTGGCCTATCTGTATTTTGTATTTGGCAAACAGACTCACCGGAACGGGTGCTGTGTTCCTCAGGTGAATTACAACATCGTCCTGCAGTCCTTTGATTGACAGGTTGGCCACACTCGCTCCCAGGATCCCACTATTAAGTTTGCGTTCTCCCAAAGATTTATCCTGTATGGTTGTGTGGAGACAACACAAGAAACACAAGATTGTAAAGACAGTGTTTCAGTGCTTAATTTCAAATTTAGCCCTTTAGTTTCCTTTAAAACACAAAACCAGGGATTTATAATTGATAAAAGTAAGACATTTGCTTCTCCTTGAATAGGGATGTTGAATGTACAGACCTGGAACACTGTGCTCTCCTGGTAGAAATTGAACTGGACTCTGGAGGCCAGCTGCTGTTGCTCGGAGGTTAGGTCCTGTGTGAGAGATGGGGGCAGCCTGATGGAGCCCTGTGGGATGGAGGAGTCTGCTCTCACACTCCTTCTGAGCCTGGGAACCCCACGGACCTGCGACACACACGGGACATGAATAAAGGGACACGCAGGCTTAACAGCTAGATTTTATTATCATAGACTTTAATATCACTTTTTCATTTGGGGCAACTGTCCAATCAGTCCATCAGAGATCACTGTTTGCAATAGCTGGGCTGCGATAGCTCAAATTAATTTCTTCTTCAAAATGTTGCTACATGTACAAAACAAAAAGTTTAATCCCGGGATAAACACATAAAAGTCCTATTAAAAAAATCACGTCATTGTGATGAAAAGAAGTAGGTTGCCAGACTTTCTGACCCAGTTTACCTCACTGAATTTTTTCATGCAGAAGCAGCAAAATCCTTCCACATTTGTAGAATATACTGAATTCCAGACTATTTATTAATGCAAGTATTTTTTCAGCTTTGAGTTCATTGTTGAATTCTGAGAAATTCACAGTTTAGAGCAAATTGCTTATAACTTGTGTGCAAATATATGTATTTACAGGTTATGTTGGAGAAGTATTTGTTACCATTAAGAGGTGAAGTAGAACATTATGGAATCATTTGCAACAGACACTTTTCCACAGCAGAAAATTTTACTTGTAATAGCAGGTACAACATATGAATACCAGGGTACTGGAACTTGTACACCTAAATCAAAAGCTCAAAGGCAGCTATCAACCATCATTCATATCATTGATTACACTTTCATGTTGTGGCATGTCAGTGTTTCTGTGGTATAAAAAGATGCTAAACTTGCTTCCACTTGCAGAGTTTTAAGATGGTCCAATGTTATTAACTCTCAACTGCCTGTATGAAAATGTAGCTGCAGGTATTTTAAGTTATACATTAAGTATAGTACAGATCTTTTAATAGTACCAATATAGTATTATAGTACTAATACACCAATACTAAAAATACACTACAATACAACTAAAACTCCTGCATTCAAAATGCTACTAAGTAAAAGGATGGAAATATTATCAGCTAAATGTACATAAAGTATTAAAGTACAAGTACTCATTCTGCAGTAACATGTCCCCTGTGGCTGATATATTATTATGTATGACATTGTTCGATAGTTAATACTGATGCATCAGTGTGTAAGCTGCATTTTACTGTTTAGGTTTGACTTATCTTCAAACCTAAACATAAATAAAATTACTCAGTGGGAATTCCTTTAAACAAAAAAATACACTGCTTCACAGCCATGTAATAAACTGGACTATTCATGTCACATACCTGTACATTATTGGGGTCTGAGATGGAAAAAAAGGTTTCCTGGAAGTTGGTGCCATCTGCTGGTTTCACAGACACAGCAACAGCCGGGGACAAGAGGGTCTCAGGCTGGTCGTCAAGGACAAGCTTTAATGCCACTGTGTCAACAATCCCTATAATCCTGATGAAAAAGAAATGCTATTATGCAAAGTAACAATCATTCTAATATTTGCAGAGCCAATACAGTTATATCAATGGTTCCCAAGCCCTGGGCTGACCAGTAGTAGGCCTTGGAACATTTGTTATTAGGAAGTGATATGATTAATTAATGATTATATGCATGTACCTTTATAGGCTATTATATGTTATTTTTGTGGTAAATCTTTAATCCATAATTACAACGTTCGAGCATTGAACAGTACATACAATCTGTGAGGCCACTGGTCCACATTCATGTGAACTCACAAACAGACTAATGAGAGACCCCCTGTCTAACTTTATTTTTCACTTTGTGTAGTAACAGGGTGTGGAGAACAATTAGCTCAGCTATTATGCGCTCCCTGGTAGGGTCTGCAACAAGACGGTCAATATAAAAATGGCTCGAGGGCCAAAAAGAGTGAGTAATATCATCTGATTCCTCTAATTTATACACAATATCGAGAGATGATGTCAAATAAAATCATCTGTAACCTGTTGGAGGAGTCGGACAGCGTCTCAGGAGAAGCACCCAGCAGATTGCTGACGATGTGGACAGAGGTGTTTCCCAGCGCCAGGCTGACGTTCGGGCCTGATAAAAGATTCTCCAGCTGAGACACCAGCTGATCCACCTGGCTGGAGTTCAGCATGGACACATCCCTGGTCATCTCAAGCAGTGCATTGGCTTGGCTGTCAGCTGTAGTCAACAACGTATTAAAGAGATGCTATAATGATGTAAATGTTGTACACAGAGTTGTACGCAGTACTGAGGTGATAACAAACCTGATTCTGTGGTTGTTGGGATCTCTGATGGGGTCACAGAGACATTCGTGGTGGTTGTAGCTGTGTTGAGTGTCGCTGTGACATTGGGAGCAGTGGTTGTGGCATTTGGGGCTATAGTTGTTGTGTTGAGTGTCGCTGTGACATTGGGAGCAGTGGTTGTCGCATTCGGGGCTATAGTTGTTGTGTTGAGTGTCGCTGTGACATTGGGAGCAGTGGTTGTCGCATTCGGGGCTATAGTTGTTGTGTTGAGTGTCGCTGTGACATTGGGAGCAGTGGTTGTCGCATTCGGGGCTATAGTTGTTGTGTTGAGTGTTGCTGTGACATTGGGAGCAATGGTTGTCGCATTTGGGGCTATAGTTGTTGTGTTGAGTGTTGCTGTGACATTAGGAGCAGTGGTGGTAGCATTCAGGGCTTCAGCAGTTGTGTTCAGTGGGGATGATGTTACATTTACAGACGAGGTGGTGGTGTTAGGTTGTGCAGTTGTCACATGTGGGCTGGGTGTGATAAACGGCTGTGGAACACACTCCTCTTCCAGCAGCACAAGCACATTTTGTCCATTTTGGCTATTAAAAAAAAGGACAAATTCAGATAAGAATTATTTATTTTTATAGTATTTGTGTTACATTTTTATCAACAACAATGTTACATTAGTGCAGAGGTGGAAAGAAGATAATACAAACCAATTAAGGATGTCAGAGTCTTCAATTGTCATACAAAAGTTAGCAGGCTTTAGGTTGACTTTAACATATGTTAGCTGGGAATTTAGTGGATTGTCGCTGTAATTTCCACAAATTGCTATGTGACATACAAGACAAAAACACAAATTAGAAGTTTTACAGGACACAGACAGTTATTTTCTTGACTGTATGAATTGATGTTGAATGGACCCACTGACTTCCTGTAGTTAATATACAAACCTGCTCGAGTCACCAATCCGTTGTAAGTGATTTGTTCCTCCGACTGAATGACATTCATCACAGCCGCTGCCAGAGGGCAGATAGGAACCATGTGGGCAAAGTTTAAAATAACTTTGCAACTAGAATTAAAAAGTCAGAAGAGCAAAAGGTTTCAGTCACTTCAAATCTATCAGTGCATAGAAAGGTTGTTCCTTCAAAGCTAGTAATATTATTAGACTCACTTTATTGGTAGGCTTCCACAGATCACAATGGCATCCTGAGTAGAGACTTACATTTTAATTAAACTGTTAAACAACATAACTAAATATATAGGAAAAATATACTGAGTGGTTACTGAGTAGATGTGCAGATGTGCTCAGCTTGTCAGATAGATAGATAGATAGATTTGGCTCCTCAACTAGCTACTGTGTATTGTATTGTTTCATCACATGAATCATTATTGCATATCTGCATGTGACAAAAAGTACAATAAAAATATTCATATTCATTTCATAGTTCATGTAGAATAAGCAGAAAACTGTGTTAAAGACTCCTGGAGAAAGCGGCCAGTGTGATCAATTCACAGATATTCATGAACTAATCATTACAAATAATAATAAATAATTCATTCATATAAGAGTCTGTTGAGTCTGTTGTAATCATTGTCTACTATATAGTCCTCCATTAGGAAGTAGTATCAGTTCAAGTATGATTCATCAGTTATCAAGTCGTTCAAGATTCATTTGTCACTCTTAATTAACAAATCATTAACTACTTTTGATTAGGAGTTACTCATTAACTAATTGTTCATTGTTTAACATTTTGTGTCCCTTATTGTACAGTGTTACCAATCAATTAAGTAAAGTCTATGCAACAGTAAAAGATACATTTCCTTTAAAACAAATCAAAAAGGCATATTAGTTCATCTCTTACTAATTTTACTTAATATGGACAAAACGGTTTGAGTACATCTGGACTGGTTTTGCAAACAGTCATAGTAGAAAAGGGGAAGGTTTAGGTAAAAAATTATTACCTTGTATTCAGATGCAATGATGGACAATGGACATGAAACACTGCAACGCAACATTACAAAGATTGTGATTTATTTTAAATGTGATGAAAGGGTATGTAAAGAACATATGACATTTAATTTGGATATGCTTAAAGAATGGCAAAACTCACTTCGAAGAGCATGCTGGTGGATGTGTTAAATTATTAATCTATAAATATTCAAGAGATTATGACAAAAATTGACAATTAAAGACAAATAAAACACACACACACATACACATGTATAGATGTTCTATGTGTGCATGTAAACTTACCAGGGTCGAGATATTTAAATCCTCCATTGTGGGATCATTTAATAATACATTGAAAGTATAGTATGCATCTAAAAACAAACAAACAAAAAACAAATTAACTTTTACATTAGTTTTCAGATGAAACAATCTGGTGGTTTTGTGACATGACACTCACCAGTTCTTTTGCAGTAAGCAGAGCAGCTGCAGCTGTCGTTCTCCTTATCTGAAACATGCAACAAGCATGTTGGTTTACTGTATTCAAATGTCAGTGTGAACAGAACCACAGCCCTTCAAATTCTTCATACAGTATTTAACTTGTCTTACTTTACTATACAGTTTGTGGCACTGTGCCATAATGTAAAAGTTGACTGAGGAGAAAAGAGACTAAATTGAAAATGGGCAGTTATCAGATGTTAAAGGAAATCAGAACTCACCTTCACATTGGGTTGAGTTGTGTTGAACAACCTTATATACAGGCCCAGACTCTTCACTGTCGAAAGATAACCACATTTGATAAACATAATAAGTGTGTATCACCCAGTAACCTCATAAAATGTTACAAAAATGCAAAGGCAATACATTACATGCAGACAATGCTTTAGAAAATACTGCTGGGGTTAGAAATGGGAAGAAATACCAAACATCTTACCATGCTGCACCAGTTTGACCAGTATAAATGCAACTGTTTTCTTCCGGTGGATTGCTATTGCACTCATTTTGCAGCTCACCTGTTCAGTGACACAGAGGGTTAATTACATTATGCAAAGTTATTAGGTAGGTTAATTCTGTATTTCAGAGTATGCAACACTCACTCGTCCTGTCTGCTTTTTTCCCCACCACAGTGATGTTAGAGGATGTTTTGTTGGCCGCACAGAGCGTGCGGAGGATACAGCATGGAGGTATGCTCTGCTTCAGCTTCAGCATCAGGGTACAGTTGGTGTTTCTGAAGTATAAGGTCAGTGTTAATAATGTTAAATACGTTCTTTACACTTGTTTTAGTCATTTGAAAACAGTTTGTTTTGTCACTTACCTTATTGCGGTCTCCATGGCGCAGGTCACCTCAATTCCCTGTTAAAACAATAAATCTTGATATAAATGATCCTTCTATCCACGTACTGTCACACACAGATACATTTAAAAGTTAACTTACTTGAAATAAGCCAGTTGTGTTGTCACTGGTAACCCCACTGAAAAATAAAGTGAGACAACATTAATGAGAAACAAAATCACTTTAAAGCAAGACTATATAACTTTTAAAACATTTTTTTTCTCTTACAAACACACGCTTGTGTAATTTAATACCCCCAGTGGTTTTGTTACTTCAGTGTCTGGTATGACTCAAGAGGATAATAGGAAGTGAAGTAATATTCATTGTGCCATCATCTTGTAATCACTGTTCAGCTAAATAAATACCCTCACCTTAAATCATAAATACAACAAATCACATAAAAGGTAGGCTAGTTGTTCCTAGAACCTGTCACTAAAAAATATGCAGTTTGAAGTTTAGCACAGCACAATTACAACCGTTTACAGCAGAAGCTGCTGCTGAAGTTAATGCTTGTTACTTGTTTTTCCTATTCAGTGTAGAAAAAGAAGGATTTTTGTACTAAATCACAAACAACACCAACAAAAGAGTGAGTGGTAGTCACCCTTTAATTCATTTATTTATTAATTTTATGAGAAATCATTGTAGTGATACCTGGTTTGTGGCACAGCAACAAGAATCTCACGAGCTACTCGCTTGATTGAATTGGAATTTGGGTTAGGATTGTCCTTTCCTCCACTGCCGGGCACCTTTGCGGTCACACTGGAATTGGGCAAAGAGGTTGTTGTTGGAGCCACTGTGGTTAACTGATTTGTTGCAGCTGCAGTTGTGCTGATGGGTTTTAACGTTGTTAAGGTTGCAGCTGCACTTGTGCTGACGGGTTTTAACGTTGTTAAGGTTGCAGCTGCACTTGTGCTGATGGGTTTTAACGTTGTTAAGGTTGCAGCTGCACTTGTGCTGATGGGTTTTAACGTTGTTAAGGTTGCAGCTGCAGTTGTGCTGATGGGTTTTAACGTTGTTAAGGTTGCAGCTGCACTTGTGCTGATGGGTTTTAACGTTGTTAAGGTTGCAGCTGCAGTTGTGCTGATGGGTTTTAACGTTGTTAAGGTTGCAGCTGCAGTTGTGCTGACGGATTTTAATGTTGTTAAGGTTGCAGCTGCAGTTGTGCTGACAGGTTTTAACGTAGTTAAGGTTGCAGCTGCAGTTGTGTTGTTACTTAGTAACGCTGTTGATGTTGCAGCTGCAGTTGTGCTGATGGGTTTTAACGTTGTTAACGTTGCAGCTGCAGTTGTGTTGTTACTTAGTAACGCTGTTGATATTGCAGCTGTAGTTGTGTTGTTACTTAGTAACGCTGTTGATGTTGCAGCTGTAGTTGTGTTGTTGCTTAGTAACGCTGTTGACGTGTCAGCTGTAGTTGTGTTGTTGCTTTGTAATGCTGTTGATGTTGCAGCTGTAGTTGTGTTGTTGCTTAGTAACGCTGTTGACGTTGCAGCTGTAGTTGTGTTGTTGCTAAGTAACGCTGTTGATGTTGCAGCTGTAGTTGTGTTGTTGCTTAGTAACGCTGTTGACGTGTCAGCTGTAGTTGTGTTGTTGCTTTGTAATGCTGTTGATGTTGCAGCTGTAGTTGTGTTGTTGCTTAGTAACGCTGTTGACGTTGCAGCTGTAGTTGTGGTGTTGCTAAGTAACGCTGTTGACGTTGCAGCTGTAGTTGTGTTGTTGCTTAGTAACGCTGTTGACGTGTCAGCTGTAGTTGTGTTGTTGGTTAGTAACGTTGTTGATGTTTCAGCTGTAGTTGTGATGTTGCTTTGTGATGTTGCTGCTGTCGTGTTGAGTGTCGTCTCATATGTGCTTGCAGATGTAGTTTGTGGAGAGGTAGGTAGGGCAGTTGTTTCTTCACGGTTTGGAGACAGGCAGCTCTCCAGGTTGTTTTGGAACACCTGGACAAGCTGAGAAAAAGAACACGATACTCAATATATTACGTCATAAGATTTAAACATGATATAGCTATAATATTTATTAAGCAACTAGTCCATAACCAGTTTTCCATACCCAGGCCTTAATTTCTGATGCGTTCTTCTCCTTTCCATTGACATCCACAGTGACATGAACAAAGTAGTATACTGCCATAAGAAGGGACAAAAGAAGAAAGTTAAGGAGACGATAACTGCAGCAGAGACCAAGATATCCTGACCCTGGGTCCTGTATTAGTCATAATGCAACCAATAGCAACCATTTTAAAGCTCTGTGTCAGCAGTTCGTAACACAGGCTTTCTGTCTTAAACTTGTAGTCTCTTAAAACCCAAGCTGAGATAACCTAGATGATTATCCACATCTGAGAACCACAGAGGACATTATACAGCTGTTTTTACAGGTTTCATAATTAGTAAACTGATTTTCATATTAGTTTCTGTTGAACTTCACAATAAATTTTTAAGTGACACTGTTAAACATTTTCAGCCATCATATTGTGTGGTGAAGCCAGCAAGGCAATACAGAGAAAATACCCCTTAATAAAGTTAAAATACTTGGGAATTTGGGTCACACATGACTTTAAAGACTTCTCTAAAGCTAATTTCCCCCAACTGCTACTTATGCCTGATAGTGATATCAATCTTGTCATCTACTGCTCAGCAAGAGGAATAATATGCGTTTCCACAAAAAGTGTCAAAGAATTTATTTATGTGAATATTTCCATGAATATTCACTGAGTGATTATCATTGATCTCTACTGCATGACACGTCTTGTGTCCTGTCTTTAGTCTTCATCAGTTACTAAGACCAGATTGGACGAGAGAGGTTTGGATTGAACAGGTTGGTTTTCATTTTCAACCAGTGACTCATTATAATAGATGGTTACAGCAGCAGTATGATGATGAAAAGACTGGAGGACAGGTTGTGAGAGACAGTTGCAGTTCAGAGGCTTAAATGAATATTTTTGGCCCCCTCTGATTACAGACATTTCTACTGATATGGCAGTGAGTAGGATGGGTTGTTGTTTACCTGAAGTTGGTGCATTTGTTGTAGCAGAAAAAAGGGAAGGAGCAGCAGAGGTCTGATTACAGGAAGCCTGACCTGATGGGGGGGAAGAACAACACAAAATGAATAACAAAGAGGAAGTTCAAACTTCAATTATATAACTTCAGTTTAATGATTATGACCTACAGCCATAACACTGTATAGCACTGACACTGGACATCATGACAATATTATTGTACATTACTTTGGACTGGACTTGGGCTTGGACTTCAGTTTATACATGAGAATGTCTTAATTCAATTCAATTAAATTATATTTGTATAGCACCAATTCATAACAAAAGCTATCTTTTAGTAAAGTCATCACTTTTCAAATAGAGCAGGTCTAGACCGTACTCCTTATAAAATTATTTACAGAGACCCAACAGTTCCCACCATGAGCAAGCACTTGGAGGCAAAGAGAAACTTCCTTTTAAGAGGATAAAATCTCAGACAGACCCTGGCTCTAATTTACAATACTACATTTAATTAGTGAATGTATAAAGGTTTCTTGAAGATTTTATAGACAGTTACATTGATATTTAATAATTGGTAAATAAATAAATAAAATAAAACAGAAATATACAAATTTGTAATTACATCTATAAAGGAAATGATTAATTCTAAAATAGACAATAATATTTATAAAATATTTAAAGAAATTATCCTTCATAATAATCCTTAAAAGTGGCTGAGAAGCTCGGGTATATGTGGTAGTTGTTGTATGCTCTAATATCCTTTGTTTCTTTTTATTTAAAGAAGTTACAGTACTGTGAAGTTTTGTGTTATTAGGAAGCAGACAACAATCAGACGAGAACAACAGGTTATGGAATAAATTGTGAAAGAAAACACATTCATTGTGTGTGTGCGTGCGTGTGTTACATGACAAACGTTGAATGACTGGCATGTCAGACATTACAGTTTATAAATAGAGGTGTAGAGTTGTCCATCCAGATAAGATAGCAGAAGCTGCTGCTCCATTGTCTACAAACAGCCTTTTTTGTTTTATTCTAACTTGTCATAGCTGATGTCAGACCATACCTGCCAATATGACGACCAGCAGCTGTATGTACAACCAGTGTGGATGTCTGACATGTGAGCTGGGCTTCTTCATTCTGTAATATAACAAAAAAGAGTTATTGACTTAGATGGAATGACAACATTTTTTGATTTTACACATCAGCTCAAAGGAGTGCAAGAGTGAGTCATACAAAAAACTTCTCAGGCATAATCATGAACAACTCTTCCTATCACACCCATGCTAATGACTGCTTTCATTAGCCTTCCCTGTAAATATGTCTGAAAGGTTTTATGTTTGCTTCTGAACATTTGGACAATCTTGCAATGTCCTGAAAAAATTAATAATCAATCAAGTAAATTCAATGCTTGAATGCACTCCTATTCAGACACACCTTTGAGTATAATCAGTGTACAAACACATTACCTTTATCACAGCTTTGGGAAACACTAACATATAGAGAGTAGCACATATTGTACTGTATAGACACACATGGTGAATGTTTGCTTGGGCCAGAGTGTTTCAGAGGTGTTTACATCTTTAGCGACACAGTGCTGTTATCATGCAGTGAATGAAACAGTGCTGTGGGAATAGAAGTTTCAGTTAACTTTAACTGCCTGCTTTTCTATTTTAAACATTTGTGTTAATGTATTTAAAAATCACGAAGTAAAATTAAATAAAAAAACACAATATGTGGTCTGATTCTACAAATATTTTACCAAAACCAAACCAAAACGGGCAGTCCAGACATATCAACAGAATGAGATGTAGCAACAGTAAAGTACAGGTTCATAGACTACATGAGTGACTATAAAGATTTTGTGGTTATTTTAGTATCAGTAAAAACATTCACTCCCTCTCACAGCGAGTTTCACAAACATCTTTAAAAAGTTTCCTGGATGGAACAATAAACATAAAGCGTCCAAATATTGGAAGTTGATTGGGTGATAAGATGCTAATGGTGAGACTCATTTGTGAGGAAGAACAGAGTGAATGAGAATAAAAAACAGATTATCGAGAGAGCGACTGAAGAGAGGAACAATGTTGTCTCGCCCCACAAATCCAGATGTTTTGTGTAAGTTTGTAGATGTGGATAGATCTGGACAAATCTGTGGACCCATCCTTCCTTAGAAAGTTTTCTTCAGCTCCTTAATGCAACACCACACTGTTGCTGGTACTTGCTCTCATATATTCTTAGACAGATTATCAATAACTGCACATAATATTTAAGAATAGAAAAGTAGAATTAAACAGTATATTCACAAACCAAGAGAATTAAAAACACAAAGATAATTTGACAAAAAGGAAAAGAAACATATATTTTATTTTTAAAAAGTGATTAGGTTGGTGGTTTGAATCAAGAAATAAGAAAGGTAAGGAAGGCCCTGAATTTATGTCTATGTATCTAAATAGATGAGCCTGATAAGTAATCCTGAATTAAGATCCGCCTGTGATTTGTGAGATGATCTGTGATTGGAATTAAGGAAAAGGAGACACACTACCACCACAACTTTACCTGACAGAAGGGGCAAACATGTGCCAGCCTGAAGGTCCATCAGAACACCGGCTGGGAACTTTATTTTCATTTTCATGGAACATAATTATCCTTGGGCTAAATCCAGCACTTGAAAGAAAAGCCAAACCCCAACACGTTAGATATTCATCTCCTCCTCTTAATCGACACTGCTGCTATTGCTGTTAGCAGGCTGCTGTGTAAGTTCCCTGTGAGAGTGTGTTTCACACACAGGATCAATAGCTGTCACATGTGGCACGCCCCTGAAACGTCAATCGAACAAGTGAACATTGCATGCATTCACTTTACCTCAAGTAAGTCTCACTCAACAATTGTCCTTCTAATGAACTGGAAATTAGTGGATTTTATACAAAATCAGAACACGCCCATTGTGCTGTACTATCATCCAGAACAATTCCTGTACACCACTAATTTCCCTGTATGTTTTCTGAAAGGGAAGAGATTGATGTTTTTCTATTTTTGTTTGGCAGTAAGGGTGCGCCTCAGGGTGTGGCCTAAGTAACCCTGTGACTGTTCTCAGTGACAGACGTGGTTATGAACAAGTGTTTCCAGGGTAACACTACAGAGTCCTGGCGTTGAGACATTTCACTGTTGCGTCAGAAGAAGTTACGCCCCTGCAGCAGTTTATGTCTGTAATGTTATGCACCTGCTTTTCAGGACTCTGAATGGGAGAGACTTGTCACACAATGACACTTATTAACATAACACACATACACACACACACACACACACACACACACACACACACACACACAACAAATGATTTCCTCCATTATTGTGGCTCTATAACCTGTATTTAGCTAAGCAAACACCATATTTAATACAGTTACACCCTGAAGATTACGCTCACCTGGAAGTGTGTGCAGGTGACTTAATATTGAGATTATCTTTAAAAGTCACATAGTCACCTTGACTTGAGTATATAAGGAAATGACGATCAAGTATGAACATGAACAAGAAAATGTTCTAATAATAGATATAAAAAGCTACCAAACCTGTTCTGGGATAAAAAACAAAATAGTTTTGCGTCATAAATGGAAAGAAAACCGGATCTGCAGGCTTCCTCCGGGAGCTCGGGGGTCAAACTGCAATGCAGAAATAAACCAAATATTTTTTAATATAATCACATTTTCTTGTACTGAGCAAATTTGCCGGTGGGGTAAGTCAGTTTTGCTTGGCTAGAATTCTTAAAACTAACATAAAAAGCCACTGAGAGACTAAAATATTTTGGTCACTTTATTGAGCTGAATTTAAGAATTTGTACCTTAATCTTAGATTAATAATAAGCAACAAAAAAGTGACCTTGTATTAAATGAAGGCATCAGAACTCTGGGACAAAGACTACTTTCTCTTAAATTGAAAAGTTATGCAAGTGGTCTTACTCTTAAAATAAGAAGTGCTGGGATATTATTACCATTGTTGTAACTTGTTACAATTAGCTGTAAAATCTTAAATATTAAAAGTTAGATATATTCTCTTCAAACCAGATTCATTTTCTAACGCAAAACATGCTTGACAAGATCATTTTTTCTTTTAGACTAAAAATAACACTCATTTCCCAGAAACAATGTTATTTTTTTACTTTCTTGATACTCCTTTTTGTGTCATTAACTAATAAAAAGGCAAACTATGCAGGCAGAGGATATAAACAAAGGGTCTTGAATTTTATCCATTATTATTATTATTATTATATGCTTTATTAGTAAAGTTTTGCTGTACCAGTTTGAGTTTCCTACAAATAAAAAAAAATTAAACTGAAGAATAAAAGTTATAGTTCTCTATCTGTACACCAGGGGGAGTCTGGAGGACACAGTGATGGCAGAGCAGATCCAAATAGTTTCTTTCAACTTCAAATGCCTTAATCTTTGTAGGGCTTCTTTATTCTGTTTGAAATAAAATAAAAGAATGAATATCTTTATCAGTTTAAGATTAAGCTGCTGATCGTTGGGCATAATGTTTTGGTCTGATACCGCAGCATTCACAACATCTTCAGAGATCAGTAAGTGCAGTCACACCCATACATCATTACTCGTATGACAAACTACCGTGGCATCAGATAAACAGGGTGGTAGAGGAGTCAAGAAGATTTGTATTATTGAAGCTCTGGCACCTCACTGTGGAGGATGTTTATAACCTATGACAAGTTGTTTCTCTGCCTCTCTTTAAGCAGTTTGGGAGACAGACGCCTGGAGATCTGACAAGTTGCGCAAGCTGAATGATACTTCTTCTCATACCTTACCTTAAAGGTTATATATAAGTTGTTAAACATTGATATAGCAGCAAACAACTATCTGCTATGTAAAGCTATTGATGCGTAATGGCGTCCATGACATCAAAATGACATCACTCTCCCTTTGCCCGTGTTGCTGTCCCAGCCTCTCTGTGTTTTGCTTACAAAGCCGGTCCGACCTGCATGTTAGTGCATGTGAGACCTCCATGTACAACTGAGGAGACTGAAACTGCTGTTTGTCTCATCTATTTTAGTGAATTAAGGATTTATTTTGACCAAACCAGAATAGGTGATTAAAGGCTGTAGTAAAACTAACAAAGATGGTGTTGGTGAGTTTTATTTTTTTCTATCCAGTTTGAAGTGTTTTTTTTTTTTTTTTTATGATTTTCTGCTTTTATTTTAAATTACTGGTCTTGTCTGTGGAGTCTGGTGAGCCATTGTTTTGGTCTGAGATGCTGATGCTTTATAGCAAGTGGATGTAGTATATATAACATTTGAAGGTGTAAATACCCTTTTAAATGAATAGTTTGACTTTTTGGCATATATGCTTATTTGATTTCTTGCCAAGAGTTAGATAAGAAGTTTGATACCACTCTCATGTGTGTCAGCTACAGTTAGCTTAGCTTAGCTAAACATAAATACTTGAAACATGTGGAAACTGCAAGCCTTGCTTTGTTCGAAGATTAAAAAAAGAAACCTGCATACCAGCACCTCTAAAGGTCACTAATTAACACATTGTTTAATCTGCACAAAAGCGTAAAAACAACAATCCTATCGACAGCATGAAGATGCCAGGAAACCACTTAAATATTTTTATCAAAATGAATATATATATAATATATGTATATATATTTTTAAATTGCCTTAAAAGTTTAAGATAAAGCTTAAATACCTAATGGTCACTTTTAGCCATATTTTGATTTATGTCCCCTGCTGAACCTTTTGAACAGCTGGTTCTGGTGTTCCATCACTTTTTCATTATTGTTATTCATCACATTATCCATCAATCACCTCTGATGAATCTGACGTCCTGCTGGCTTCATGTACACAGCACAATGTTATGCAACTGAATATAACTGACTTTATGGCATTTAATCCCCTCTCTCCATATTTTCTCCTACTCTCCAGTTCTCATTTACTAATTGCTATTTTATAGAAATTAGTTTAAAATATTGTTTGTATTGTATCGTATTGTGTATTATTGTAAACAGTATAGTATGTAATTGTGTGGACAAAGTTTTGAGTATATTGTACATATATATTTATATAAATACAAATATAGTCACTGTTGTCCCACTGAGGCAGACAATACCAAACATTATTAGGGGCTTGTATGTGTGTTTTCTATCCACAGTATTAATTACATAAGAAAACATTCTCACCACGAGGTCCATTTAGTAGATGTTGATATAACCATAATTTTGGTTTCAAGGCTGCAACTTTACTGTGTTAGTTCACTCGTGGCTGCAGTAGCAGTGAAAAAGCTCTAAAAAGTCTGTACCTACACTACTTACCCAGCAACAAATGGTAGACAGGCACAGTTAGTGAGTAACTGGTGAGCATTTAGCAGTTAGAGTTTGTGGAGTCCAAAAACAGAGCTTAACTTTAATATTGAACTTACATTTGTCAAAAAACGTGACTCCAAATGAATGATAATGTTGCTCGGTATCTATAAGTACATAGGCAACTTTTTCTGAACACTTTCATAATAACAACTTAAAAAGTGATCATATGTCAGTGTTGTGTTTACAGCACGTTCTGCTGCCCCCAAACAATCAATTACTGCTCAGAGGAGTAGTGGAGGAAGTGAACAGCAACGATTTCATGATCAAAAGCTCTGGAACTGCTTCTAAATCAACCTTGTGGTGAGATTAATTTCTGAACTCCTGTTGCCAGATCAAGAATGAACTTGATCTTGTCCTTCAGATTTTCTTTTGTGTGCCTAGGCCTTGTGGCTAAACCTAGCACATCACATTAATGTAAATTGCTGCCCAAGTTAAATAAAAAGTAAAACAAGCTTATCAGAAAACACTTAGCTTGACACACATCTTTTAAGAGCATACATTTATTTTTCAAGACGTTGTACAGTAATTATACAATTGAATGTTTTGTTTCTAATCAAGCAATAAAATAAAATCCTAAAAATGTAAATATATTTGTTTGTTTAAAACTTTTTCTTATAAAACAGGCATGCCAAAAACACACATAAACATCTGCAAAAATTGCAGCCATTCAACGCAACAGCTGATCTCGGATTTTTTTATTCCAAGTTACAACTGAAAACCTCTTGAGTAGAAGACATCATGCAAGATATCTAGCAGACGCTGTGCAAACTTGAGCGTATTTGCAGCCTGTTGGTGTTACACTGTATAATGGTGAATCCTGTTTATTCTGCTGCACAGTTAATGTACTATGCATACATACTCCAGTAAATTATGTTGAAGAGCAGGTAAGCCAGGGGAAATATGACTCTGGAGTAGGAGTCGATCATGTAGCTGTTGCTCATTATGAAGCTGAGGTTTTGTCTTAAAGGGTGCTTGCGGCGTAGCCTGGTGCCTTCCGTGGGTGCAGAGGCATTAGAGTTTCGAGACTGGGTGTTCCTCTCTGTGTTTGGGGTGCTGGAGACCTCTGGAAAAGAAGTCAGGTCAATTTCGTTGTCATGGAAACAGCCGTCGAAAGCCATAGCCTGGCTGGCATTGTAGTTGGGGATCTGCAGCGACAGGGGGAGGAGAAGAGAGTTAGGATGTGAGGTCAGCGAGCTCCAGCTGTCAGAAAGTGATTTTCTGCGGGTCAAACATGTCACATGAGGTTTAAGGAGACATTCGAGGCCACTAAAACAACTGAATATGAATGACCTTTGCACTCCTGAGCTTCTTCATCTCCTCCACTGTGGTGAAATAGTTGACAGCAGCGTACTCGATGACAGACAGGAAGACAAACAGGAAGCTTGCCCACAAGTAGATGTCTACGGCTTTGACGTAAGACACCTGTGGCATAGAGGCTGAGACACCGGTGATGATGGTGGACATTGTCAGAACGGTGGTGATGCCTGGATACAGAAAGCACCAGCACAACACATCGTGAGTATTAAATATCCATTGTTTGGATGGTTTATACTACACTGGTGAATGGAAGTCACCAGGTCAAACACCACCATACTATAGTGGATTGGTAACCAAGAGCAGCAATAAGATACCCAAATTACATGGTAAAAAATATCTGTATGATTATTATATCTGGTTGTACTTTACCAATATTTTTTCCAGTCTCTGAGTCTCAGTTGTGTATTGGTGTCTCAGTTTGTTTAGCATTTTAATATTTATTTGTAGGAAAATACATTTAATATTTTATATCTAATGCACACCCAAAAGCAACAGACCATTTAGACTTGAATCTGTGTTTTTCTACCATAAAGTAAGAAAAATTTAACAAAAATGCCATTTTACTTTTAACTGAAATAACTTTACCTAACTTTAGCCACCAAAGCGCTTACAGGAATAGCTCAACATTGTAAAACATGCCTATTTGCTTTCTTCCTGATAATTAAGTATATGAGAAGATCAATACCACTTTCATGTCTCTTCGATAAATGTGAAGCTAAAAGAGAAGATTAAACAGTTATAACACATTAATTAGTGAGAGGTGATGGTAGGATATGTATTTCCCCATATGTTCAGTCATTTTTGTGCTAAGTTAAGCTAACCAGCTGATTGCTTCTTTATGTTTAACGTATAAATCAAACTCTCAGCAAGAAAGCAAATAAGCATATTTTCCAAAATGTCGTTATTTCTTTACCAAACAAAAAAAAAACTAGTCATAGTGATATATTTGTGCCAATTTGGATGAAGATACATAGCCAACAGTACAATTATTTGTTTAAAATAATCTATCTGTCATTTCCAGTTGTGCATAAAATAAAACGTGTGTTTTTTGTAGGATACTCTCTACAACATGTGTGAATGTAGGCTCAGTACCCAGAGAGACACGGGCAGGTACAGCCCTCCGGTCTATCCAGAAAGACACCCAAGATAGCATCACCATCAGCATGGTGGGAAAATAAGTCTGAAGCATGAAGAAGAAGATATGCCTCCTGAGAATGAAGTTTATGTAGAGCCGATTGTACCAACCTGAAACAGAGATAAATGGACAGAAAGGGGAGGCAGGCAGGGTGGGGACCAGGGGAATAATAACAGTGGATGGCAAGAGAAAACAAGACAGTCACTGGGAAATGTCACACATGCACAGGATTGTGCTAGTTGTCAATCTAAGAAAGTACAAGATGGACAGAAAGAACTTAGAAGAAAAGTAATTATTTTCTGGGGCAGATCTGTCTAGAGCTGAAGTTATATAACAACCTCTTAGAGCGGATAGGTCTCCACAAGATTATTTCACACTGAGAAGAAAATCTCCCTGGCCCCCTTTCTATCTTTCTTTCTCACACTGAAAATGTGACAGAAGAAGCAGGCAGGGTTTCAAAAAGTGGGCTTAGCAGTCAGCAGTAGCAGCATCCCAAAGAAGCTGTATTACATTACATTTAATGCTGTAAATACAAAGGCACACAGTAATATCTGACATATGATAGTAGAATTTATTTTATTTGCCATATGACCTTTCAAAGAGATGGGGAGCCTTAAATCCTTTAATTTCTATTTAGTAATGGCCTTTAATTGATCTATTACAGATTCTATTTCAATATTTTCACAAAGAATAAAATGTAGGCTAATATTGGTCCTACAATGTTATTGTATGGATTTTAGTACGAACACAGTCTGTCCCCACTTTACCATAAATTGTTGTGCACACAACACAAACACTCTCCTCACCATCTGTTATCATATCACATCATGTAGTTAAAGGTCCCATATGTAAGAGTCTGAAGCATTTTACATATTATTTTTAATTATTTATAAATGAATGGGATGTAACATAATTTAAAAACTTGGTTGCCTGTTCTATGCATTTCTATGTAGGAATGTGTGACGGATTTTCCCCGAAAATCCAAAGGATGTGACGATTATGTGCGCCTTTGTGTGCCTTCTCTCTCCGCTTCACTACAGCATCAACAGTGTTCAGCAGCTAACGTTAACTTAATAAATTAATGAATGGAGCCCGCTGACATCATGCAGACTGTTGGCGCTGATCTGGCTGGATTGCCGTTTGCAGGTTAGTCTGTTGGCTGGGTTGCAGCCGGCTGGCTAACCTTAGCTCACTTGCTTGCTAACATTATCAATAGCAGTTACGTTCTGAGTAGATATGTTAGTTGGCATGCAAATTACTTCCCCAGGTAACATGATCTTATGTATTATGGCTTTAGCCAACAATAAATGATGTAACATAACAAAGGTAAGGTAAAGGTACAAAGCAAACAATTGCTTTCTACTAGCCAGCAGTGATACAAGATAGAGGCTTTCAACTAACTGCAAATTAGCCTAAACTAAGCTGCGGTTGGCCGGCTGGCTGTGGCTTGGCTGCATGATGTGGGTCTGGCATTGGTTGCTTTGTGCTGTTGGCTGATGTGGTGATTTGGGAACAGCAAGCTACTCAGTATCATGAAGTCAATAAAATATAGGAACGTTGCAGATAGTAAAGCTGTCTGAGTGCAGTTCACTTAGCGGCCACTGGTGTCCCTATTAACAACGGTTTTCTAATAGTTACATATGGAACCTTTAAGCTGAAGCCACTTTGCTTAAAGCTTACTGACTGGAAACAGGGGAAAGAACTAGACTGGCTCTGTCTGAACAAAATAACCTGAATTAGTGAGCTTTAAAGATGCTGGTATGCTCATGCCGGTTTGTTACCTTTGGACAGATCCAGGTTAGCTCTTTTCCCCTGCTTAGGCTTGTCATGCTCAGCTAAGCTAATAAGGGGCTGGCTGTAGCTTCATATTAAGAAATAAGTGGTACCAATCTTATTATCTAAGTAGTTTTTTTTTTTTTTTTTATGAGGGTTTTAATGAAATCAGGAGCTCTCTGGTTGTTCCCAAACCGGGTACACCTCAGAGGGACCCAAGGCTCCAACCTCACATACCAGTACTGCTGTAGAAGGCAAGCCCAAAGGAAGGCTGGAAGTCTTCAATAAAAAACTGAGAGAGCACGATCTCGTCAGTCCTTAATGAATCGTTCCCGTTCTTCCAGTAGAGCATTAGGTCGTTCTCATTGTAAGCATCTTCAAGAGAGGAGAGAAGGGGAGGAGGGAGAAGGAGGGGGAGATGACACCTTCACATGTTGCCTCTCTTAGAAGAATCATGGATGTTTTTCTCAGAGGAGAGGAGAGAGTGCACAGAAATGGGACTCCCGACTCTCCTCTGAGATCAGGATCCATGCTTTACCCATGTAATCATTTCAGGCAGACAAATAGCGATAAAGAGGGAAAAGCAGGACAGAAAGACAAAATAAAATCCCTAAACTCTACGCAGAAAGTAATCCTGACTCTGTCGTCATTTTTGACCAACTTCAATCTCAGAGCAGAGCAGAATGAAAAATAATAAATCCTGCATCAGAAAGACTGACATGTATAATAGACAGAGATTGACCTGGTAGAGGATTATGATTTTATTTACTCCATGCTAAAAGAAGATAGTGATGGTTACTGTGTGTTTATGAAGTACTTTAACGCACTGTGAGCTGCACCGTGTGTTTCTGTCCCATCAGTACAATGCTTAAAGGTAGTATATTTATAGATGGTGCTTTACCAACATGGATGCTGTTTGATCTAGTGAGCTCAAAAGCATCACTAGCTTGTGCATTTAGACTACAAATCCCAGCGAAGGTTGTGTAAAATGTTTTCCAGTAAAACATGTCAACATTATGTAAAGTTGATTTTTTGTACCTGTTTAATGAAATGAACCATGAAGTCCTCTTAAAACTGCTTTGGACATTAGGCATTTGCAAAAAGCAATATCCCAACTGTAGTTTGATACTCACAGCTCTCTAGCTCCAGAGAGCAATTCTGTGTGTCCAGGGGGAAACTACTGAAGTCCATTGAGCAAAGTGCAGTCACAGTGATCCTAAAACAAAGCTCACAGTTAAAGAAACGCCCACATATATCAAGCAATCATTCAGCATCAGCAGTTCACAGAAAATGTCATATTTCAATTAAACTGATTAACCTCAGTCAACCAGCTACTGTAATACGATTTTAACAAGAGTATAAAATAAAACTACTGGACTGATCTGTTCTGTCTTTTTCTGTCTGAATGGCTCTGTGGCTGTAGCAAGCTGTTAGGAAAGACGCCATATTGTCGACATCTGTAGCTGAAATGGATATGATGATCTCAGTCTGAAAGCTTACTGGCCACCCTCTCATATTCCTTTCAGGCTTTGCCCATTAAACCTTGCGGTGGTATTCCAGTGGATTGTTTTATATCTTGGTTGACTCTTCAAAACATTTTAACAATATTCAAATCACATCGCATTCAATTATTGATGTGCACGTCTGTCATTAAAGCAAGACTATGTGACCTCTGAAAGTAGAACTGATCCACTTTTCCTCTTACATATTATTGAATTCATATGCAATAAAACATACCCTTATTTATTTCATTCAAGGTTGTTTTTTTGCTGCTACAGATATACTTGGCCTAATATGATGTGTTAGCCAATGTCTTTAAAGCAACTGGCTGAAAATAATCTTGTATTATTATTATTATTATTATTATTATTATATATTATAATCCTGTAATTACCACTTGTAGCCACAGTAGTCATTCTCACTTTAATAATTTCTACTTTAATGCTGCTAATCTTTTCATGACTAACATAAAATATATTTTCTTTACCTGACACTATAGAGGATATTGCCATCAGGATAAACCCTCAGCATGATGTTCTCCATGGTTGTGTCATGGATAAAAGAACGCTTAGAGTGGACAAAGAACACATCAGGAACCCAAATCTTCTTCACGAGACGTGCATCAAAGGTACGACTCTTGTTGCTGCTGGAAGGGAAGGCCAGGCGATCGTCCTGCCAGTAATGCCTCAGGTACAAAGTCATGGTGAAGTCCTGGTAAAAACACTGGTGTTAAAGCCCAACAGAGGAAAGGGGACACTGTATAGCTGTACAATCCTAGCGGCACGCACCATGTTTACTTCTGATATGCTGTCAATGCTCTCCACCTGGACGTCGATGCCAACAGGAATAGCTGAACCTGCAAAAGGTCAAACGCTATAATACATCAGCTTTAAGCAACAGTTGGATCACATCCTCCATGAATCATCTGTCTGCACATCTGCCAGAGATTATATATGTGTAAATCCCACTGCTGAGCTATACGACATAAGCCACATCATAAAGACAACAGAGACAAAAGGTTGAATGAAAGTGATGACCCTGACATAATGCTGGTTCTTAAGCATGACTCCGCTTCAAGTTGGATTGATATCTTTTGATAAATACTGTATATCTACAACATCAGATACACTGCCTTGGGTGAAGCAGTGATGCTCATTCTCATCTCCACAGGTCTGCTGTTCACTCAGGAAGCACGGATAAAATGCCACGAAAATACGTGAAGGTTTATAGCTTGTAATCAGCTTTTCATTTTCTGGATGAGCTATAAGTAACCAAACCGTATTATGAAATACATGTCTGGGAAAGACTATTTTCTGAGAAACTCGAACAATTGTATGTTTTCAGAAGATCACTAACTGTCCTGCTGTCAAAATCTGTGACTAAATCTCCTTAAGAGACCATATAGTTTGAACTTACATAATGTTATTTGTAACAGTTGTGTAATTGCGAAAATTACAGGCAATAGATCCAAAGCTGATTTTATCGTTTCTGTGAAATCTGGCCTGTGGGAAAAACTCTGGCTCCCTAACAACCTACATCGATATAAATATCCCTTGTGTTTCGCAGTCAACAACCTATGTAGATTAAAAAAACACTCATTATTTAACTGCCTATTTCAATAAGAGTCCGAAGCCTATCCCAGCATGGACTAAGACCAACAATCACTGATACTAACAATCCTATCAATGGGCATTTAAGTCCACGTGTCCTGGAACAAACCCAAACAAATACTGGAACAAAATGTAGAGAAGGGGTCAGAGCCAGCAACAAACCAGGGCTTTTCTTGCTGTCAGTTGCCTGTTTCAGATCAATGACAAAACAAAAGAAGAGCCAGCTCATCATTGAATATTACAACAAAGAGGTTCAACTTGGACTGCAAGCACAAATGTGAGTGCAGCAGTCTGAATGAATAAACCCAAACGTTTGCTCAAGAAACTGAACTGTTACAATGCTACGTTAAATACCACCACATTGCACTTTTGCATAAATATTCAAGTGAAATGGTCCTTATGTCATCATCCAGTGGCAGAATACTGTAAACGTATGACGTGTACTGTAAACATCTCGTTCTCTCTGTGCCATTATCTAATGAAGGCAAGCACTCAAAACCATCCAGTCTACAATAACAATAGAGTAGTGAAGTGGGAGGGATTATATCAGGCAGCTAGGGTCCTGCAAGTCCTGTTCATTTTTTTGCAAGGTCACTGAGGCTCTTTGAACTCTTTGACGGGGCATGAAACTCTCCAGTGCCAACAAAGAACACCTGCAGTTGAAAGAATCAGACGCATTGAATAAAAAAGGAAACAACACAAGACACAAAACATAAAGCATTTTCCAAAACATTCAGTCCAGCCATCAACACTTTGCTAATATTGTATCTTATTGTTTGCAAAAAAAACATAATGGCGTTGATGGAGTTGACACAGCCATAGAAGAAGTCTGTTACAGTCAACTGCTCACAGCACAACACCCCCACAATGTATGTTTTATGTGCAAGAATGCATATTTGCTCTGTCATATGGCACAACTGCTCTTACAGTAACTAAATGGCAGGTGGGAGCCAGGTTTGTATTTAGGAAGGACTGTTACTTTTGAGTCTCAGCCACATTCACAAGTTACAATATTTCATATATTATAACTTCTGAGGTAGAATTCAAAACAGAGAAACCCACTCAGAAGATTGAGACATCCATTCAATTTACTGAGCCTATACAACCCCTTCTGACTGCAGGAAATGGGCCTTCAAGGGGAATTCAAGGTGAAATTGGAAAGGATTTGCAAACACGGTGAACATGAAGAGTCTGAAGCACAAGAAAAGATTATTTGAATGTAAATGATAATTGAATTATTACTGTGCACCATTTTATGGAATTACTGGCCAAAACAAGAAATTAAAATGAACTCCAGACTTATACAATACAGGTTTCTGAATATCCTCTAATATCAGGCTCTTCTTTTCCCTTTCCCCCACACAGAATTAGGTACGCAGTTCAGATTATTTCATCTGTACTACCGGCTGCAGTCATTGTCTCACACAGCAGACTATCTAGGTCACTGAGGGTTTTTTTTGGAAAGCGTAATACCAAAGACAGCACAGTAACCTACATTAACCTTATTGAGTTGCCAGAGAAGCACATGGTTATCAGAAATAATAAAGAAAAATAAAAACAAAGAAGAAGAGGTGAAGTAAAATACATAGATTAAGTGTGTGCCTTACCTCCAAAGCCCGGCCTCATTGCAAAGTCATGATCTTCAATCCGAAGCAGCTGCTCAGATTTAATTAGCATAGACTTGGTGCTGTCCATCTTTTTCAATTTAAGATCCACCCGTCTGAGAACCAAAGAGAACAAATGACAGCTTGCGTAGAAACTCCATCTTCCTCTTTCTAACACACACACACACTTGAAGCAGAAGTGACATCTGGTCGAGGGAGTTAGTGATGGTTAATTGGACTTTAGCACTCTTGATTACAACGAGAGGCCTTGGTCTAAAGGAAATTAAAGTCCTTTTACTTTCAGGGTACTGACACTGGTCTAACCCGGTTTAACTAGGTCGGACATATTGTGAGGCCTCTCTTGCACCTGAATTGTTTGTTTGCTCTAAGAGGCCCATCTGTCCTCATTGTTTTGAACCAGCAATATACTATTTTAATGATGAAAATAACAGCTTTTTCCAATCACTAAGTAATATGCACAAATATTGATATGTACTTGAGAAGTCTGAATATAATTTTATTAGAAATGAGAAAGTCAGTCAAATGCACAGATTATCTTTCACCTCACATGATCCTATCACCTGCTCCTACCTTTACAAGCTTATTTCTGATGGCATTGTAAAGTAGCATACAGGAAAGCCACAAAATATAGCTGTCAGGGGTCAAAATGTACATTTTAACTGGAGAAGCAGCTCCACAATTACTTGTCATACAAGAAATCCCACTTTGGCTTACCCTCCATGTTTTTGTTTGGTGTTCTCTCCGACGTACAGCTCCTTGTGTCTCCTCTTGTTCGGGAAGTTGCTGCTGTTGAGCTGGGTGACAGGCCACAACCAGGCCAAGCACATCAGTCTAAAGGCCAGGAGGACCACTCTCATGGTTAAGCTGGGGCTGGAAAGGCGAGAGGAACCCAAACGTCCCTCCCACTGCGTCAGTGTCTCGCCCAGGGAATGCCACAGCTGTCCCTGTCCTCTACTGGCATGTCCATGTCCCAGCAGCACTCATTCTGCCCCACCACGCACACACCCGGCTACTTCTGCATTATCCGGCTCTTTCATCTCCTGTAACATGGTGAACATCAGTCGAGATATCCAGTGCTTAGCTCCAGTGCACAGACATCCCCCCTGGTTGAGTTTGCTTGTCACTGTGCCATCCCTCTGCTTACGTCTCCTGACACAACATGTTGCTCCTCACTGTCCCCACCCTCTGATTTAAAACCAAATATCAATTTATTCCTACAGTGACAAAGGAATAGCCTACCATTAATTCCTCTCTAATCTTCTTATCTGTGGTTGGTAAAATCTTTCACTAACCTACAAACTGGAGGCAGCACAGGGTTGGGGGGGGGATAATACAACCAGCAGTTTCATCATCATTCTGACCAGATAAAAATAAAAAGCCTGTAGCCTACTTTTATGCATTGAGTTGTGGTGGGAGGACACAAATGATCCCATCGAGAGGGGGCAGATGCAAGCATATGCCTGTGCAACGTCTGAAAACATTGCATTTGCAGCTCCTGAGTGAGCAGATATTATTCACGGCAGAGGATGTGATTCCTACACTGAGGCTTTGAACTGTTTGTACAAATGCAACTGCATGCAACATAATTCACAACATGGGAACAGCTCATGCACTTCTATGTGATCTAGCATTGTGGTTTAGACCACAGGATCCCCTGCGTTATGGACAATAAAAGCAATTCTTTATAATAAAATTCAATCCAGTTCAACAAAAAAATACACTGAAATCTAAAAAATAGAAAGCTTCATGACATCTCAAAAGTAGCGTTTGTTGCAGATGTATTTTAATGTATAATAGTTCTGTTATTATGTTGTTCATCCTTTGTATGCGACATCCCTACCAAACTGTAGCCATTTACTGTTAATTGTCACTTCATCACCTTGTGGTCAAATTTGGCTGGCTATCCTCTACTAAACGCTAGGCAGCTCCAGAAGCAGCTGGGTCACACTGACAGGGCCGTGGTCGCTTTGCAGTGGTTAATAAGAGAGGGGAAAGCTGTTTGTCCACTTTCCCCACCCAGACTTTAGTAGATTAGGGACTCTAAATGTCCCCAAGCCACCTCTAAGAAGTTCAGGCTGCCACCACAAAACAGTCCCTAGACCTACATAGGCCTATACATATATGATATCAAAGGATGAGTGACTTCAGATATCGAAGGCAGGCAAACATTGTTCCCTCTGAAAAACTTGATTTCTAGTCTGTCAACACTGATTTAGATTTTTCATTATTATTTCAGGAATATCTTTCAATTGCACTTTAAGGGTCAGTTTCAAAACAGTTTTTACAGTTTAAAGCCATACAGACAAAAAAATAACTAACCTCAGACTTAATGTGAGATTCATTTTGTTTCTTGGTATTTTTCTAAATGCTTGGAAACTAATGCCATGACATCACCAGCAAGCTGTCCACATATAGTAGATCTGCAGCGTGCAATATACATTCAGCATGATATGATTTAATGTGCTAATAGTCTATGAGTTTATAGTGAGGGAAAGTAACTACTGAGGCAATGGAATAATTCTTAATAATTCAATAAGAAATGACAAGGCAATACAACAGGCTTATAGAAACAAGCATGTTTAATGATACTGTATTAAATCAAGGAAGAAATGAAAACCTGGAACAGAGAAAGAGAAACTTAATAAAAAATCAGTGACGAAACCAAAACATGGACAGCATGACTCCACTCGAGTAGCATGGTCTCTTTAATCTGGGATTAAAGTTGATTGAGGGCAGACATGAGCAATGTCATCTTAAAGAATCACGCACGTGGACCTTGGCTCTCTTGTGCATGTGACCACACAGCTGCTGGACAGCAGGCAGCCATTCACATGTGGAAGTGGCATCTCATCTGTGCCCTCTAGAGGTCATCATCTGTCATAGTATGTGAAGAACTGTATTGTGCATTTTTATTCATGAACAACCACATTCATGCCATAAACCTCCTGTTAATGCCAAGATATGAAAATAGATACATTCCAAACTTTTTGTAACTTTCTATTAATGTACCATCACATCCATTTATTTTCTATACAATGTAATGCTTCCATGTTGTTGAACAAAAAGGAAACATCCATATATGAAACAAGACAGCAATTTCTGAGATATTAGTTTTTGTTAATTTATCACTTTAATCTAGGAGATTTACTGCAGTTCTAATCAATCATATCACAAATAAAAGAAGAGTCTGTAAGAGAACAGCCCTTAAGTCAATGTGGACTAAACTGTGTATAACTTTTTCATTCATTGATTGAACACAAAATGCATTCAGTCATCACATCTTTCAGAACTCATAAACAGTTTTCTTACTTAAACTAAACCACCACCACATCTCTGTATTTACACTCAATTTTGTATTTACACTTAATATTTATAAACTATTGTAAAAACTGTTATATGTCCAAAACGTAACAAAAAATTTGTGTAAATTAAACCGAAATTGGAGGTGAAAAGTTTATGACCACCAGTCATATGACCAGATGTCCCTCTTGGATGAAATTAATGAATTAACAGGGACGGATCAGTCATGCAAAAAGATTCTTTCTCAGGTGGATTGCAAGAGCGGACATACAGTGAGATGTCATGCAGTAAAGACGTCCCCTTACCTTTGTTGTAATAGAATCTTGGTTTATGCTAAATAGATAAATAAATAAAATATACTTGAATATACTTGTGATTTGGATGTGAGAGGAGAACTCAGTTTAGAGAATTGTGGGTTGCCAATTGTAAAAAGGTGTAACATTTTTCATCAGGTTAATAAAATGAATGGAAGTTAAATTTTTAACGATCGATTTTTAATATTGGGATATAATTTAAGTTAGAAATATCTGTAGGTTTTGAGTCCTGGCATCCAAAAAAAATGCAGATAGCATACTAACTGTAACATTTTTCAGGATAGTGACAGGATTGTCACACAGGAGAAACAGACAGGCTTCCTTAACTGGTGTGTTCTCTTGTTGAATTTATTCAAATTACTGTAATTTCTGTCATTATGAGGATATGTCATTTGTTGGAGCTTCTTTCAAGATACAACTGCTGAACATCCTTTTGTAGAGAAGATATTTCGTGTATAGAAAAGAATACTAGGTGTTACATGTGTTTTTGTGAACTGTTTCTGTAGAGGTGTTGTGTAGTGAAGCATTGACAAGGAGGCAGGTTAAACGTTTACCCACCGGGTTAATTAGTCAGTGTTTCATTAGTGTTAGGAAGGATGTAAAGTGGAATCACACAGAAACAGTTCACTGCACATCAGTGTGTTTTCACACACATGCTTGCCAAAACTGTTACAAGATCGACAACTCAGAGCAGATTATCCGACATGGCGGAGGCACATGGACTTATGATTATGCTGCTTATTATCTTGGAGAAACTGTTACTGACAAACTCAAAAGGTATTGTAATACTCAAAATCTGTTACTATTCACACATGAGTAATTTATTCTGAGCAAAGGGACGCCAGTGGATGAGATGCTTTAAAGAGTTTTGCTGCATATAAACCAACCAACTGTTATGCAGTAAGAAAATGCTTTGTGGTACATTGCCTGAATTGTGATTTATTTTGATACCATTATCATTGGTCAGCTGATTTTAGATTTGCTTAAAAAGTATTTTATTGGCAAAAGAATAAAGTGAAATGTTGAGGAAGATATAATCCTTTTTGGTAAATAGAGTTGCTTATTGTTGCATACAACAATTTTATTAATTAATCTTTGGTATACTAAAAAGCAACAATTAAAATTGTCACTTTTTCACTTTTTCTCAAAAAATGCCTAAAATCATCAACATACATTGCAATTTTTTTAAATAGCTGCCTTGAAACCAGGCATTTTAGGCTGCAGCAATCCCCCCAAAAACAGCAAAATCCTGGTTTACTATTGTGTATCATATTGTGTTGTGTTTCTGCAGCAGTATGTGTTGAAGAATGACACAGAGCTTCAAATTACAGCTGTTACGGAGCAGCAGTAAACTCAGCTGCTCTGTGTCCAAAGAGTGTTACCCAGCTGTGACAGCTGTGCTCAAGAGCTGAACACCCATTAGGGGGAAAGAGACTCATAAAAGAACAATCTTTACTCTGGTAAAACAAACAGCTCAGATGTTTATTAGACAATTAAAAACAGAGGACAGAGAAATCAGCTGAGCTCTTTTGTAAGAATTTTGCATTTTTTTAAGTGTCATGCTGTTGTGAAATATCCAAAATGGCGACATGAATAAAAATTATGCAAAATTCCTAATTCTGATGCACTCTGTTGTTGCTGCAGCAGTAGATGTGTCTTTAAGGTCAAATGAAAAAATACTGAAGGCATGAGCACGGCAGCAGCAGTGATCTAATCAAAAACAAAATCATGTATTTTTTTTTCTACAGTTGTTCAGCATGTTCAAACTGTTTGTGAAGTCTGTTGACTACAGGCTTTTGAAAACTACAAACCCCAAACACCACAGATGTGGCAGGAAAAGGTCACAAAAATGCCTGGAAGAATACGTAATCATGATGGAAAATCCAGGAAATTGTGGTTACTTTTCTTGTAATTGTCATACTGTAGAAGGAAATTCTGAAACACAGAAATAAAACATGTAATACAGATTGACTCACTAATTTTAGCCTACAAAAGAGAATATTGATTTTTGACTATTAATCTAGAAGTCCATTATTTGATTTAACATTTAAAATGATATTATTATTATTATTAAGTCTTTTAAAATCTTGACTGTAGCTTTACCATCTCAAAGTTTTATTACCAGATGCCAACGTCACCTGTATCATCCCAGACGACTGCATCCTGCCCTGTAGCTTCAGACCCACCGGCACTGTGGTGATCCACTGGTACAAGCAGCAGATTCCTGTTCACAGCTACTACTACAACAAAGACCAGTTTGGACTGCAGAACAAGCACTTCAGTGGAAGGACTTGTTTGTTCAACTCCCACATCCCTCATGGCAATGCCTCCCTGCTCCTCAGGAGGGTCAAAGTTCAAGACAAAGGCAGGTACAAGTGTTACACGAGCACACGAAAGGGCAACCAGGAGATGTTTGTCAACCTGGAGGTGAAAGGTCAGTACAATTTGACAGTATTACAGTCTTATCAGAAACACATGCCAATTTCACTATGTTGTTTTTGGCTTTCTTCTTTGGTCTGAATTCAGCCAGTAGCTTTGAGTGGTGAAGCGTCTTCATTCATAAATTACCTCCGAGGACGTGACAACAAGGTGGAACATTTTGAACATTTTTTTCCACTACTGCCCAGCAGAGCTTAACTGTTAGTGTAAATTGTCGTATATGTTATACACTCAGTTTCTAGTTTATTAGGTATACCTAGATTAAATTCAGTCTTATACAACAACAACATTGTAATACATCAGATTCAGTTTAATTGCCAGATAACCCACACAATACCTAAAAAATGTGGATAGGCCTGCTGCTCTCTGCCTTTGGATAATCTTCACAGGATCCTCAGAGAAACTGCAGTATCTACCAACACTCTTTATCCATTATATCTAGTTTGTTTAAGATTAAGATAAGAGATTCTTATTTATAGTTACTAGCTTATAGGAAGCAATTGTTATGTATTTGGCTTCTATCTGTTCAAGTACTATTGATATTTACATTGAAATCAATATAATACATTATTTACAATTTAATACATTCAATTGGTAGCTGAGATCTGTTAAGCAAGCCACCTTTAATTTAGTTTACTTTATTGTTTTTGTCTTCTATATCATTAATTATAGCTTCTTCCTTAATTAGTGGAATAACAAAATGAATAACCAAAATGTCAGTTCATCAAAATGGATATTTTTAATTTGCAGACAACAATTTGGGGAAAATCAATAAATAAACATAGTGAAACAAATAGTAAAAAGAAAGTCAGATATGGGTTATAACTCAGTTTTGACTAAATATGTAGTTACTGCATTTTGCCTTTGTAGGGCTTTGAAGAGCAGCAGAAAAACGATTTTTTGAAAGAGAGAAGCAGCACACTGTAGCTTACAGTAAATGGACTGAGATAAGGTTCATATCACTGTGTGGGAGTGGGAGAAGCACTCATGAGAATATGTGTCAGTTGTTATTCCCATTAAAAGTTCAGTGTGTAACATTTAGGTGGATCTATTCCTACAAATGCAATATAATATGCAGACTCTAGTTAGGTGCTATTCGCGGTTTGTGCACATTTCTCTGCCATGGTCGTTTCTCCTTCGTGCTAGGAAGGGGAGGGTGAAGCGAGGGAGTTGCAATCTACAACCACACAGCTAGATTCCACTAAATCCTACACACTGGTTCTTTAGATGCTTACATGTTTTTGTTTTGTACGTTTCCATTCTAGCTCTCATCCAGTCAGTGATCATGGAGATGTCTGATGAGATGGTCACATGCTCCTCTCACAACATCTATCCAGTTCCTCAGGTGACGTGGGCCACAGACCCCCCCTCTGCCCAAGAAGCTCTAGAAAATTCAACCATCAAAACCACAGACCACAAGGGTCTGTTCACTGTGGTGAGCACACTGAGGATTCTGGATAGTCTGTCCAACTATACCTACTTCTGCTCTTTTATATCAGCTGACAAGACCCAGGTGTGGACTGCGTCTTGGAAAAACCACGGTGCGTTTTGGTTACATATAATTCATAAGGTTAATGATTTCTGACAAATAAAAGCAAACAGGTTTATGTGTAATATCTTTCAGAGGGTATAACACATGGAGAGGGTCACGCACTGTCCATCCCATGCATCACCCCACACAGTCTTCAGAATTTCTCACTCACCTGGACCTTCACCTCGTCCAGTGAGCCCACAGTCATCTTGAGATATGACACCAAAACCAAACACACCTTTAACCTGTGGGAGGGCCAAGCTGAACTGGACCAGGACCTGCTTTTTCTGGGAGACGGATCTCTTCTGCTTCACAAGCCAGACACCGAGGAACACTCTGGGACGTATACTTGCACCTTTTCAGGCCTGCAAAGCAAACACATCGTTCAGACCAAAGTAAACATCACTGTTTCACCAATAAGTGAGTATTAAATTATTCTGTTTCTGGGGCGATGTGAACTCTACTGTCAACGCTTTAAACACAGGAACTAAAATAGAAACCATTCACTAAAAGAAATGTTTATGAAATGTTTGCTCTGCAGGTGTGGATGAGCAGAGTTTGAAGAGGTCATGGTGGAGCACTGCAGCTTCTGCAGCTTTTTTCTTGTTCACCATCATCGTAGCTCTTCCTCAGTGTGTAAGGCAAAGAGGTATGTAAGATATTAAATCAGTAAGATAGCGTTTGTGACGAAGAAATTGTAAAAGTGGCATTTACTGGAGCAGTACTGAGATATGATGATATAAATGTATGCAATATCTCTGTGTCTTTATACTGTTGAATAACTCATTTTGATTTTCTCTTACTGGTACAGCAAAGGAGACCAGAACTGCCTCACACAGACACAATGGAGCAGGTTTTGTTGAGGGTGGACTTCACAAAGATCTGAACGCCACAGCTTCATACATAATCGGACAACATGGAGTTGAATGCAACAGACTAGAACTACAGTTTGAAGCGCAGGACGAACTGACAGACAGTACGCCAAACACAGCAGAGGACTGTACTGTGGCCTTACCCGCAGGTGCTAAAATAGAACCAGAAGAAAAACCAGTAGGACTACCTGTGGACTGAAATGATGGGCTTCAATTCAGTGGATTTGGAAACATCGAGCCCGGACTTCATATGCCATGAACTTCATGTTATTAAATACGCAGGAACAAATGAACTACTTTCAACAAAGAGATGGGATTCTGTCAAATTCATTAAGAACATCATCGTCAGTATACAGTAGCTGTATTGTATACCATAAAACACTATTATCAACAATGAGTGTGAGCTTGTTGTCCTGCCTTTAAAATAAACAGAAACTTAATTCTCCTTTTCTGTATCTTAAGAATCATCTTATTAGTTACACCTGTGTTAGGTGTGTCACAAATTGCAGCATTAATTGTATTACAATGTGTGCTGGGAAACTCAGTTTATAATATTTTTGACCCTCTGATGATATTGTAGAAGCAATTTATCATTTGTTTTGAGTATTCTATTTAAACTATTTATGTTGTTTTGTTTAGTTTATTTTGTTTTGTTTTGTAAGAACTGAAGGTTTTATATTGGCAGTCAGGTATAAGACGAGAATGAACCTGGGGGGGTTATTTGCCAGAGCGACAGAGACAACATGATTTTTTTGTTCTATTGTTGGATTACTTGCCAAGGTTAAATAATCCACAAGACAACCACAAAAGGTCTGCGGACGATGGACAAATTGACACTACAGATAGGGACATGATGTTTGTACAAACATGACACCGCTCAAAGTCAGCCTACATTACACCACAGCCATATAATTACAGGCTCAGTGACATAACCAAGACTCAAACATCTTGTTTTGTGGTTTTCGAGTGGACTTTAAGGCAATTTTCAAATTAAACTGAATTTGGTCATCTAGATAATTTAATTTAGGTAATCTAAAAATCAGCCTGCAAAGAGATGGGATGTGTAAATACATATTAAAGCCAACATCCTGCTAATTAAGTTTTCTTTATAGAAATAAACTGTGGGGTGATTCCACCAAATTGTTCATTTTGTCATTAGTGGACACAGGAAGTGTACTAAGTATATACAAATCTTTCAGTTTTAGGGGGTTAAACTTTGTGCCACTGGGCCAAAGTATAACAGTGTAGGTGAGAAAGTTTTTCTTTTCTTTAAAGGAAAGTCAGTTAACAAAATTAAAGATGAGTCATAAAAGCCAAAGAAAACAAACTTAACAGATCCACATTTAACACCAAAAAATCACCTAATGACTATGGCCTGTTATGATTGGTTGAGACACTTGAGACTTCTCACGCTGTGACTCAGATCTCCCGACAATTACCAGAGTTGATCATGCACCCACTCCCACAATCTGACACTAATTTTTCTTCCATCGTTCTCCCCTTTTCTCTACTTTTTCCATAGCCTCCACTCAGAATCACTCCACACATGGTTTCAGTCTATAGTTTAGAAAGGACATATACACACGCAGCAGTTTGAAGCAAATGTTGTGTGTGGTTTCTTTAAAATCGTACCTATTTTTTTAAAAACCTTATTTGGACGGGAAGTGGAACAGCTCAGTGACAATTAACTTTCTGTGTTAGCAATAAATTTAAAGGGTCCCAGTTTTCAAATGAGACCCTCCTGAGATTTATATGTGTCATTTTATTTTCCTGAAATTGTAAAGAACGAAAGAGAGAGCGAGGCAGACAGACTTGTGTGTTTGTGCATGTGTGTGTTTTTTATGACAAAGACCCCGGCTCTGTGTCTGGAAGTAATCATCCAGTCCAGCCTGCACTCCGCAGCCCCCTCCCTATGATGTAATTGGAGTTTTTTGCGGGATGGTTCAAGATTTTCGGTGGGATTCAGGGGATTTTTCCAAAGTAACGTTTCATTCATTCTTCTCTGATCTTGCTGCTTTAGCCTCTATGTTTTATTCACTTGTTTATATCCACATACTATCAGTTTTTAAAAAATAAATCAATTAGATCAAAGAATGATCAGAGCATTAGCTCCATGATAAAGTATGTGTAATGCCTCTGACTGTAAGGGGTTTTTTACTCTTTGCCTGCACAGTTAAGAGGGGGAGTGAGGTTGGCTGTGTTTCAGACACAGCGATGGGGCCTCCTCCCGCCTCCACATACTGCTGAAACAACAGTCTAAGAGTCAAGTATTTACCTACTCTTGTCTTTTCTCCCACTAAAAACACACATGGTGGGACTTCTCTGTGTGAAAACTGGGAAGAGTTTAGTTGGGGGGTGTTGATCAAACTGGCCAGACAGCATTAAAACTGTTGCCATTTTAAATAAAGTGTGTAGTGCAGACAGCACAGTCTATAAAGGTTTAAGGAAAGAGATTAGACTTTGTCACATGACAACTACAGATTTGCAAACCCAGTGTCTCCATGTTGGAATATAACATAATGATAACATGACACTGGAGCCTATTGATCATTGTGAGTGAGGTCAGAGGTCAAAATCAGCTAGAGACACAAGAATTATACTAATTCCTTTAAAGCACTTAATTAAAACTAATTAGAGTAATAATGCTGCCTTCGTTCCCTCCTTTTATTTTTATCCATTTTGCTCCTTTGCTTCTCAACAGAAGAAAAATTCTCTATCTAACCAGAGAGGGGCAGCAACAGAGCCTGAGGATGAAAAGTAAACACACACTACCCCCCCCCCTCTCTTGGGGAGGAGAGTCTGAGCAGAGAGCTGACGGAGAGGAGGGGAGAGGGTCTCCTGTCTGATCCTTTGTCATGGGAAGACTTTACTCTGCTGTTTCATACACTCAGAGAGGAGGGAGAGGACTTCAGCTTCAGCAACAACAGACACACCAAAAAACCCAGTGCAACTATGTGAATGGGACAGAAAACAAAGGTTAGTTTTTCTTTTCAGTCAGCGTAAATGTGGATGATATGACCAATGATCTGGGAAAACCACATGTCTATTTTACACCACTATGTTAGACTTCACGGTATTTTAAAGTTTAAGTTGTTTATCACATCCTACTGCATGTACAGATGTTGCCAAATGTAGAGCTGTTAACATATGCATGTAATTACAAAAATGCCAGAAAAATGACTTAACTCAGGCAGATGTGAATGTGTCTATGTTGCATAAGAAATGTGCAAAAAGTCAGAATAATGATTTTTGAGCTGTTATCTGGCTTAAGAGGCTAAATGGTGGTTGTTCACACACAATGTTTGTCTCTACTGACCTAACATTGCTGGAAAATGACACAATCATCTAAAAGAAAAGTGGATGACAGCCAGGAGTGGTTATCAGGAAGTTTTCAAACTGTTGACTGCATCCCAATGTGTGTGTTCGTATGAATACAGTATGTGTGTGAATGTATATGAGTTGTTAATGCCTGATGTTGAATCAGAATATTGTAAAAGCAGTGCATTGAGTTTAGAGCTGAAATGATTATGAATGATCGGTAAACTGATCAGTTGATCGATAGATCATCTATGTAGATGATGGATTAATTGTTTACGTTATTTTTCAAGGAAAAAAGATAAAAATTTCTCATGTATGATGTTTTATAGACCTAATTATTAGGTCAGGAAAAGAATGTGAAGATTGTTTGTGAATGAAAATAATCATTAGTTGGCCTGATCTATCAGACTTGTGAAGCAACAACAGTTTGAGCTTCATGCAATGTGAAAGCGTTTATCTTCACAGCGTTACCACACATGAAAAACATCTTATCAGACGCCATTCCTCAAACTGTTTACATATCTCTGTGTTTATGCTCTTCACTACCCTTCTTGCCTGTAGGCTGATGCAGTAAAAACTCTTGCTCCTGACAAGAGGCTGGGTTTTTTCCCCCTTTTTTCCGGAGGTCTGGAGAATGAACTCATGCTGATTGATTGTGTGACTGTGTAAAAGGATACCCTACTTCCTGTAGGCCTTCTCTCCAGACAGCAGGACCAGAAAACCTTGGATCAGCCATCTCTGTCTTTCTCTGCGGTGTGTGTGTGTGTGTGTGTGTATGTGTGTGTGTGTGTGTGTGTGTGTGTGTGTGTGTGTGTGTGTGTGTGTGTGTGTGTGTGTGTGTGTGTGTGCTGTCTGTGGATTCAGGAAACTGTAACGTCTGACTTTTAATATCCCTCTATTGGAACCAAGAATATCCTCACTCAGTTTGATCTTTCTGAGTAATGACCTGGGGTTTATTATTAATTAGATGTATTTATTTATTTTATCTTGATTTTGTCTTAGAAGAGAGAACAAGATTTTGTTTTTGTGCTGTTGGGCACTCAATTTGGCCAACAATTAGGCTAATAAGTCACCAGGACCCAATATTTTAAAAAAAGTATTTTTTTCACAATGATGTGAAATTGTGAAAAGGAAGCTATAATCTCCAAATATTTGGTATTTTTACTCAATAAATGTGAAAAATGTTTAGTGGAATTGTTTCAAATTGTATTAGAGTCAGTCAATGAACTAATGATTTCAGCATGGGCTGCAGGAACCCTCAGGTCCTCAAGCAGTCCACATTAATGCAGTCTGAACCTCTACCTTTGGCTGCTGTCTCAGTGAGTCTGGAGCCTTGAGGGAATACTTTCGAGGACTGGTCATGGGTTTGGGGCTAAAAGATCAATTAAGGCGCAGAGTGGGTTGCAGAGTGCTGATTTTCAGACTCGGTTTTTATTGGTAACACTGAGCCAGGCATAAAAAGTTTCCTCCAGATCTGTTTTCCTACTTAGTCTTGAGGAAAGTTCTTTCTTTTTTTTTTCTTTCCGTTTAAATATGCACATCTGAAATATCTGCTTGAATTGAGGTATTGTTGTAGAATTTTTAGAGGATAAGTTGGGGGGGACCACAAGGCTTGGATTCAACTTCCTGTGATGTTCTTTAAATCATTTGTTTCTATATTGAAAGATGGTACTCTATGAGGCTAGAATACTAGAGCAATGTGTCGAGAAGGAAAGTTGAACAGATTTTTACTTACAGTGTTTATTTGTATTCCAACAGATTAGGATGGATCTGTTTTATATCAGTATTTTTTTTTTTTTTTTACAGTCTTTTTCCTGTTTGTGGGTTTCATATTGATTTCTTCTTCTCAGGGAGCACAGCACACAGGGCCCAGCTGAATCCTACATCCTCAGACCGAATCAGAGAAAGGAGGTCAGTGTAATGAACAGCATGCTTCCTCAAAGGAGTGCTGTCGCCACTCTGGGCTACAACTCTGGTAAGACAACATTCAAGATTCAAGTTTTTGTGAGTGATGTTGAGATGAATCCTTGATACTGATCACTTTAATTGGGTCAAATCTCAGTAATCTACAGTTTATTTTAGTCATCTGTATTAGTTAAGTGCCGCACTTATCTGGATAACTTTTCCTAACCCCAAACCTGGAACAGCTCCTTTTGCATCAGTCTGTGTTCAAGACTTTAAGGGCTTCTGGGTTTTAGTCAAACCTATCTCCTGCTGGCTTATATTTTCAACCACGATCAGCTGAAAACACACAAAATGCTGATTTTAGCTCAAACTGAAGAGCATGCCAGAGCCATTTATTTACAGACAGAGGAAGATGCCAGCTTTATTCCTTCATGATCTTCGACAAAAAGTCTTAATAATCCAAGTTTTGAGGAAACTTTTACTTACATACATCCATTTTAAAGGCCCAGAGTTAATGTATAACACAGCAGGAAGGCATTCTTTAATATCACATAATCTCTGTAATTATATGTTAATCCAGCGTCCAGCCACCCATGACTCAGGGCACCGTCCTCACACTGCTGGCTGAGATATCTGGGCCATAGGGGAAGGTGTCCTCAGGATTTCTCTTCCAGTCGAGACTATGATGCATTCTGCCTTGTCTTGGTCCACCAGCATTCTTCCATTTTTAGAAGAAGCTTAACCACTGATTGAGCCAATGTTTATATTGGGCACAGAACTGTATGAGCGTACATTCTTTACTGCCCCCCCCCTCCCCTCCCCTCCCCTCACTCAGCACAAGTGTGATAGCACGACTCTTAGCTGAGCTGGTGCTTACTAAAGAGGTCACATTAAACCTGACTCTCTTACATATAGTCCAAAAAGAGGCAGGATTTCATGCTCTGAAAACTTTCTCTTTCTTTCAGACTGTGTGAAGATCGAGCACAGCAGCAGTGGCTCAGTGGGTGGGACATTGCTGAGGGGCTCCCGCTCCAAGGCAGAGCTACAGGAACTGATGGAGACGCTGCAGCGCAGGAAGAGTGCTCTGGAGGCCAGCTTGAGGGCAGCTGAGTGCAGCCGCAAGTACCTCAGCGTGCCTTCTCCTGTTGGATCCCAGTCCACCAGGCCGCTGTCAGTCCTCAGCAATACCGAAAGGCCTCCATCTGCCTCCAGAACATTCTCCTACATGACCAGCAGCAGCGTGCCTCCATCACCACGTCAAGGTGAACGCCAGCTGAGCACCAACGGTTTGCTTCGCCATTCCCACTCTCGCCACCAGTCACAAGACAGTCTGCTCCTTTCTAATGCAGCAGATGGAAGCTCTCTGCTCTCCTCCTACGGGCAGCCTCTACCTCGTTCTCCCAGGGTCAAAAGTGGAGCAGCCAGTGTGCCATCCAGCCCTCGCATGGGCCGCAGGCTCTACTCTCAGGGCAAAGCTGGAGGAGATTCCAGGCAGAGGAAATACTCCACTGGCTCCCTCAACAGCCTGGGCATGCACAGCCGCTCTCTGCCACGGCTTCACAACGCAACAGACCCCCCTGCTCTGTCGCTACCGTCCCGTCACTCAGTGGGTTCCCACAGAGGAGTGGGTTCAGCAGGCCCACGGCGCAGTCTCTCCTCCCTAGAGCAGCCACCAGATGTGACAGTACCAGCAAGCATGCCCAGCACTCCCAGAAGGGCCAGCCTGGCCTCTCTGAGCTCTCTGGGGATAGAGATGGATGGGACTGGCTTAGATCTGGGCTTTGGAGAGAGGAGGTTATCATTTGGGAAGGGTGGACTGGGTCCGGGACAGAGGGTGGGCAGCATCAGCTCTTTGAATGGCAAAGAGGAGCTGAGAGACTATCACCAACACCAGAGAGATGAACGACTCAGGGAGCAGAAAGTGCAGAGATTGGTGAGTTTCTCTTTGAACCTGATTCGTCCACTTTTATACTACTTGGTTAAAAAACATGAAAATAACTCAAACACTGTAAAATAATGTATGGATCATCTGTCTACAGGAGTGCCAGCGTCTGGAGACCATCTTAAACATGTGCACCGAGCTGGGCCATGTGGAGAGAGAGCCGGCGGGCTCAGCTGTGTCGGACCTGCAGAAGATCAATAAAGAGTTGGAGAAGCTGCAGGTGTCAGACGACGAGTCGGTGTTCTCCGACTCCCCCGGCAGCACTGCTCCAGAGAGCTGCTTCGGGGCCAAAGTCAGAGACTTCCAACTGGCTGAGGAGCAGCAGGTCGGCCAGCGCCAGCAGAGCAGCTACAGGGAGGCCAGGTCCCACTCACCTGCTATCAGCCTCAACAGCAGTGCTCCCTCACCCTCCTCCCACCACAGAGCCAAAGTAAGTTTGGCTTACAATAATGGAGTATTGAGTAATTTAAAATAAATGTTTAAAATTCAATTATGGGAAGGATTTTGTTATAAGTGGGTCATTGTGTCAAGTAGCTCCAATTCAAGTCAAGTAGGCTTAATGTTATTTATACAACTAAAAATCATAAATCATAAAAGTGTTTTCCTCAAAGTGCTTTGCAACAATACAAACAAACTACAGACAAATATATCTGAATATTAAGTTGCTAAATGCTCCACTATGTTCACCAGCGAGTCACTAAATATGTCTGCTTTGCTATCTTTGGTGCTGGGCAGCGTGTTTATCACAGTGGTGGAGACATTAACTCTAAGTGTTGTTCTGAAGTACAGTTTTAATCTACTTGTACTTTACATTATCTGACCACGTGTGTGATTTTGGCAATTGAGATCAATAATAAAATATTATCAACTATTAAACTATAACATATTATTATAGATTGTTGTAAAATACATATATAAAGTGGTTCAAACCAGCTCCACATTTACCAGCTTAAACACTGAAATGATGAACACATAATGTTTCGGTAATTATAATTAAATGATATAATATTATTCTGAAATCTAACTATACTTGAGTATTTCTACTCTGTGGTATTACTGCTTGTACTGAAAGTAAAAGCTCTGAATACTTCCACCTCTGGTTTATGAGCTTTTTTGGTGAAATTAGGAGGTTGACAGTGCGAGTGAGCCGAGAGTGAACCAAAATACAGATTTAGTTGCATTAACACAATGCACACTGGCTGATCACTGCAAGCGGCATATTTGACATTACTGGTATTATATGAATTAGGCTACTGTTAATATGAAACATATCTAAAGTTTATCTCTTCAACAGCAGCGTTTTAATATTGTTGGTAGTAGGGAATTAGCACAGGTGTTAAAAATTAAATGTATATGTCTGCTGTTGAACCTTGTGTCTGACTGTAGGACATAGGATTTGTGACTGGGCTGCATCACCTGAACTGATGTCAATCCACATCTTCTTCTCCTGTCTGCTTTCCTCCCATCCTTTATTCTTTCAGCTTTAAAGTGAGCAAGAGAGGACCAAGCTGTAGTGAAGACTAATGGGACACACCCCTCGTGTGGAATGCAGTTTATCAGACTCCTAATAGCTTGTTGACCTTTGTTTGTTTGTTTTTTACTATAATATCAGCGTAAATGCTTTCCATTTCCCTTTCCACATTTCCACAGAACAACTGAATTATGTGGGAAATGCAAATAAAATGATGTTGAAGATATCTGCTAGGGTTTGGAAACAACCAGCAGGGCTGAAGGGCATAAAAAATGTGATCATCATACACACTATGACAAATCTTGCCTTTTATTTGGTTCAAACTGGATTTGGATGAAAAGTGCAAACATGTGTGGCCTGAAGCTCTTGTGCAGAATGAGTCATATGCTGACATCCATTGCAGTTGCTTATAGTTTGTGTTTTTTTGTTGGTAGGTAGATTCCTCAACATCATTGAGCTTTTAGTCAGAAGTACTGTACGTGCGTGCAGTTAAAAGTTTGTACATTTCCTGTTTATGCGGGTTGTTCTGACTCATAAACAGGGAAATCACAGTTGCACAGCTCTCCTCACAGCTTTGATGTTACTGATTTGACCTCATCTTTTATCTCATCAACTTAATGATGAGAGACAACTGAATGTGTCAAAGTGGGAAGACTTACTAAGAAATGAATGATCAAGTTCAATTTGCAAATATAAATTCATCAAATATTGTGATTTTAGGCAGGCTACCTCCTCCAACGTCTTTGTCCTAGTGTCACTGATTTACTGTCTCTGTAAAAGTGGCACTTTTTCCCCAGTTTTCCAGTAACAACCTAGTGGTGTGTCTGGTTTTAATGAAGAAGCCCTAGTTTTGTTTCAGCACTCAGCCATTCAAACTGTTAAAGGAGGGGGGGATAGGGTGGGCAGGAAATGACTTTATTCCAAGGAGAATTAGTGTGCGTGTGTGTGTGTGCGTGTGCGCACACACACACATGCACAACTGTGGGTGTGTGTGACTGGAAGAATGCTAGTGTATATGCATGGCAAAGGCATGCGTTTTTCCAGATGTTTTGAACTTCATACGGAGGCTAAATGGATGGAAAGACATTGTGAAAATAAAAAAAGTAGTTAACACATTGACACAGGTAATCAAGCAATGTTTTTTATGTGAAACAGGCACTTTTAAAACACACCTAGAGTTTAGAGTAATTTGATTTCCAAGTTGAGACCATCATGTCTTCAATGTGTCACTTGTGACATTTTTTACGGGCTTCAAATACACTCTTCCATCTCTTGCATTCCTCAGAGCAGTCTGTGCAGGAGGAAAGAGCGTTCACTGCCCGCCTGGGAAACTATAAATCCTAGAGCTGCTGGCCACATGAGGCTTTGGCCACAAAAACAATCCTCCTGACTCCAAAATGGAAGAATACCTGTTAATGCAGGTTCTCTTAAATGCACCCACACAGGAGTATGCATGAATGTTTGTAGGATGTTGGTAGACATTTAAAGATGTGGGAGTTCTTTGGCATGACTGGCAGTGGAGTGCACTGATAGAGATTTCCATTACACCAACTGGAAAAGAATCCGGTTGTCAGTGATCCAGCTTTGGATGAGTTAAAACAGCAGCTGTCATCTAATTCAGAAAAAACTGATTCTACTGGTTGGCAAATTAGTTTAAGAACATACTGTATGTGTTATAAAAACTCTCTAAAACTTTGAATATGCAATCACCAAGAGAAGTTACTCCCAATAAACTTTATAATGGGGATTTTTATGTGCATTTCTTAATTTATTACAGTATGCATGAGTGTTTAATTGTATGTGTATAGAGCCAAACATTTATATGCATTCCTGATGTCACTACAGGCTTTGGAGAGTGTGCAGCTGAAACAGGAAGTAACGCATATAGAGGAAGAGAGGATTCAAGTCCTGAACAACATAGAAGAGCTGGAGCAGAAGATCAAAGACCTGGACAACCAGATGGAGGAGTCTGTCAGAGAGGTAGACAGCACAGTGCAGTATATGAACACAACTGACACCTGAGCAGCTGATATTGTTTGTTCTTATCTAGTGTCAGATAAACTGATTTACTTAAAAGCATTATGCAGTAGTTTATCCTCACAGTGAAGCTGATGAAATGAGCTGCTTAACGTTCAGTGGTGTTACAGATCGAGGCAGCCATCACAAATCGTGCATTATAGGTGTGCATTACTTTTTATTTTTCAGCTGTAGTGCCACTGTGCTCTTTTGTCTCCTCTGTCTCATTATGTATTTAATTCAGTTTGTTTTAAGTGGACAGTCTAAAGATGTTTTTTTTACTCTGCTTCTGTTTCCTGCAGATGGAGGTGGAGTGTGCTCTGCTGGACGGGGAACAGGAGTCGGAGATGGCTCAGCTGCAGAGGGACAAGGAACTTCTGGACCAACTTAAGGAAAAGATTCACAGTAGTGAGAAGAAGAGCCACACTGAGAAGTCACAGGTAAATCACAGGGACCAGTTCAGTTCAACCACAGCTTCCTCTAAAAGGGGTTCACTTACATTTCCTTTAAAACCAAACAAACAAACTATGTTTACAAGAAGAAATTCTTTCCCTAGACCAAGAGGCCCTGAAAGGCCTTGTAAAAGATCCTCACCTAAAGCTATTCAAATGACCTGAAAGACTCCAAACAAAGTAATACAACAACGTTGAGTACTCTGCCGCAGTACTCTTTTGACCAACTACCAAAATCAACTCTGTTGGACAATAAATGGCACTTTATAATCTATTCTCCAGAATTAGTTCATGTTAGCAGTGAGTGCCAAGACTCACAGGAAACCAAAGACCTCAGTTCTCATATTTCACCTGTGCAAACTATTTTTTCTTTTCTCCCCAATTTGTATCTTTTTGCACCTTTATTATCCCTCTTGACCTTGTTCTCTGTAATCCTGGTTCCCTTCTTTTACTTCCTGTCATTCACAACTTCTGTTTCGGACATGGTACCCCGTAGGCCCACATTTGGGAAAGGGGACCAAATAGTTACCATGTGCAAAAAACATTGTTAGTGCATCTGGTTCTAATTTGGTGGAAAACTAAAATGACCTGAAACCTGACATCACTTGGAAAGGCATAAAATTATTACTGCTAACTAGCGAGTTATAGTTAATGTGTGTGTGTGTGTGTGTGTGTGTGTGTGTGTGTGTGTGTGTGCGCGTGTGTGTGTGTGTGTGTGTGTGTGTGTGTGTGTGTGTGTGTGTGTGTGTGTGTCCTGTTTCTCAGGAGGCTGACGAGCAGACAAAAAGTTTGGAGGATTTGGAGTTTCAGAAGCTGGAGAGAGAAATTAATCAGGGCGAGGAAAAGGAGAATCAGAGTCAAGAGGTGCTGCGAGAGATCGCAGAGTGTCAGCGTCTTACTGTTACACGCAAGGTACAGCGAGTGAGGTTTTGTGAATGTGCATGTAGCATGTAGTGCATGTTTGACACTGCAGGTAGTGCTGCCACCGCATAATCTTTAATTTTTTAGCCAGAAATATGTACAGTATAGATACTACTGTAGGTATTTTTGGAGCATGATAACATAACGCACCTTTTGACCAGATCTGAACAAGATGTGTTCTGTTTAATGATTTATATAAAGTAGATCTTTAGTATTAGTCTGGAGTTTTCAGTGGATGTTCATACCAACAGAAGTCCCAGAAGCTCAGGCTCATTCTCTCACTTTCAAGTTTCAGTAACAGGCCCACAGAAATATTACTATTTTCATTTAAGAGGTAGACTTCTTATCAGTACTTACTTGTATGTTATTTTTCTTTTTTTTTTTTAGGGGCTTTTTCAGTTACTACATTGTGGTTTGTCATTAATCTTACTACAGGTTTTGCATGAAAATAAAGCTGCAAAATTGTGAGATTTGCAGCTCAGAGCATGAACTAATTAGAAGAAACAACAATACCAGCAATGGTAAGCATTAAATACTACTTGCATAGTAATAGAAAGATGGAGAGATTAATAGATTTTTTTCATTCGAGGGCAAAGCCACAGAGAGGCGGCAGAAACAGGGTGAGGATATTAGATTAATGTGTAAAGATGATTTAGTTGTAGGCAAACCAAATTAAATTTTCCCATCTCAAAATGAGAATTAGCTCTTGTTCACTCTGCTACTGCTTCATAATGAAACACCTCTGCTAACATGACAGCATTACTTTGCTTCATATTAAAATTGCAGGATATTGTCTAGTGAGTTTGTGCTGTTTTCTTGTCACAGGAAAGACTCATGACGCTGAAAAAACAGTCCACTCAGATTACCTTACAGGCTCAGCAAGAAAGAGAGAATTTCCAGAGAGAGAAAAACAACCTGCTCATCATGCTCCAGAAGGTAAGAACAATCTTACTACATACTGATATTGTAGTTATTTGTATTGTATTGTATTTACTTGAACATCCTATCGATGTCTGCAGGAGAGAGAGAAACTGGCGTCTTTAGAAGGAAAGTATGCAGAGTTGTCTGAGGGGCAGGCCTTCACTAACAACCCTGTAACCATCACAGAGGTGAGTGTCAGTTACAGTTACAATAATACTTAATATTTCCACCAGCAGAGTGCTCCTCTGGATTTTAACAAAGTATCTCACACAGTTAATAACCAAAGTTTCAATGTCTCTGCTGTGAAGTCCTGTTATTTTTATCCTTTGTGATTCCTCTGATTTCTGTGATCAAAGCAGCACTTGCACTCTCTGAAGGAAAGGAGAAGAAGCAGCAAAGAAAACTCTTCCCACCCGAGTGACAGCCTACCTCATAAGAGGAGCCAGCAGCTCCTCAACTCTTACGGCAGATCCTTGGGACGCACGCTTCCTCCCAAGGTCATTACTGTTTGTTTTTTGATCACAGCAGACATTAAAGGCTGGACACAGTGAGATCAAACTGGATGTCTTAAATCTGAAAAAAGGAAATATTTCTCTTATTTAAAGCACACTATAATACTACAGTAGAGCCTTAACAGCAAGAATTACCCAGATTCTGAAAGCTAGATCTTGAGATATTTTAATAAAATTGGTTTGGAAGAACAGTTTCAAAATAATATTCTGATTCTGGACTGCAGAAAAGGGGATTTCATTGCCCTGATTACATGTATCCAGAACTTTTTGTCCCCAGAGAATGATCCACCCAAACAGGAACACCCATCCAGCCCATGAACTACTTTGCAAATGAGATAAATTTTGTAGTTGTGTGAAGATTGTAGAGCCGGTCCTGAACAGCATGTGTGCTGCTGTTTCCTCCTCAAGGCCCACCTGCCTCTGTCCCAAAGCTCCAGCTGTGGCAGTGTCATCCCACAAGGCTTCAGCTTCTCTCCCCGGGACCTGAACACCCGCCGACTTCCCAAGAGTGAGTAACAGATTGTGTGCATCAAGTCTTTTCTGTGCGTGACTGGCTTTAAACCTCAGGCGTTACACATGTACATGTGTTAGGACAGGAAATGCTGTCGTGATGCACAGAGGAAACCACAAAGTCCAAATCTGATATCAAAGACTAAATGTTAGTCTTAAAGGAGCAGTGTGTGGAATTTAGTGGCATCTAGTGGTGAAGTTTCAGATTGCAACTAACTGAACATCCTGCTTGCGCCTGTATTTGACGACCTGGGAATGAGAATGGGCTGGGAAGTGTGTAGGAGACTAGAGCCTATCTAGAGCCAGTGTTTGGTTTGTCCGTTCTGGACTACTGTAGAAACATGGTGGTTCAACATGGCAGACTCCTGACTTGGGTAAAACTCCCCCAAAAAACATTTAACAGGGAAAAAATAGAAGAAACTTACGGAGGAGCCACAGAGGAAGGATCCGTCTCCCACAATGGACAGACATGCAATAGATGCTGAGTGTACAAACAAGGGAACAAACAAAGAAAATCACATTTTATACAAACAGTGTAGGTTTCCATCTAATGAAGCCATAGCTTGACGCTCTATCATCCCTCTCGTCCGTGTCCAAATCCACACAAAATCTGGGAGACCACTTGTAAAGTTAAATTCTTTACTTTAAGTCAAATAAGGTGATACAAAACAATATCTTTTCCATTTACAAGATAATAAAAATCAATATACAGAAAAGGAGAGATAGAGAAAGAGAGAGAGGTCAAAAAACTGTGTGTCTCCACTCTCTCCGCTTGTCTGAATGGCTTAAATACCTCTCAGTAACGCCCCAAAACTCCGGGATCATTAAAGGACCAAAATAAGTTCTAATACATTCCAATCATTTGCAAATTAAATCTACATATTTTCAATTATTACCACATTTTAAACCTAAAGAATCGTACAATTAACCTTTTGCATTACTGAAAATATTTTAATTACTTAATAATCAATGAACTCTGTAATTTAACCACTGAAACGTCAACAAATGCTTTTAGGCTCCTACAAACAGTGATGATTGATTGTTTTGAAGACTGAGAATGCAACTGCAAAATTTAAGCTCAATAGCACAATGTTCGTTTCTGTTTTAACTTGGCCCGGTTGCTGTAAACAGTTTTCATAAAATTATGATCACAAGATGCTGTCCCACCTGGCCAACTAGTTAATGAAGTGCAACTCTGTTGTTGTATTCTGCCTGATCTAATGTTTGACCAACTTTATCATCATGCATGCTGAGAGAATTTCCACTTTGTTACCGTGACATTCTCTTCCGTCAGCAAGCAACAGCCATGCACACATGAATGAAGACAGACAGAGAAGAAGTGATTTCTGCAGCAGGATGGTCTCTGACCCCAACGTGTACTTGGACTCCTTCACCTACCCGGACAACAGTCAGGCCTCAGATACCGTCAGCGTGGACAGCTCTGACAGCCTGGAGACCAGCTTCTCCGCCTGCTCCCCAGACAACATCTCCAGGTTAGAGATATACAAATGAAAGGTTACTTTGAAAAGAGAATATGTGTCAATATGTTGTATTTTTAGAAAAGAAGCTGGTGCCAAAAGGCTTTATAATATGTTGAGGAGAGATATTTTGAACATCAAGCAGAAAGAGGAAGTGCTTTTGAAGAGCCTGTGATGTTCTGTGTTAGGTCAGAGATGGTAATATCCACATGATATCTAGGTGTTCTTACACTTTCTCATACACATTAGCAAATTTAGTCACTGCCTTTGTAATGGTGTTCATGGCAATGGCAGCGCTGGCAGTTTGTCATGTTTATAGGGGGTGGTTTGTTATCGTCCCTCCGCATGGTGTTATTATAGTTACCCTCTTTTGCAAATTTGAACAAAAAACTGTGAACTAAAAACCTATATCAATCAATCAATCAATCAACCAATGAACCAATTACACTTTATTTGTATAACATACAGTTTAGTGCAATTAAAAGTGCTTTACAGACGATTGACAAGATGATAATCAGACAGGATGGAGTAAAAATTAAATAAGGTAGATTTAAAAATGAACTGTAATAAGAAAAATGACAATAAAATACAGGTATAATGATAGTATTTAATAAAAGGTATACTAAAACAAATAAAATAAATTAAGAAAGCAGGCAGAAATAACTATACTAACTATGATAACAATAAAAAAGTATACTGAAAATAATTTAATGAAATTTACAAAAGAAAATACAATCAGTAAAAAATAACTTATCTCCAATCATTTTATATTTGGTATATGTACAAATGAGTTGAGATTGTTTGCATGGCCCCATTGTTTTTTATCACCTAGATTTAGATTTTTTTTTTAGCTTACACTATATGAGTGTCTTCCTCCTTTATCAGAGAAATCTGGTTCTTCTTGTGTTTGACAACTTGTGTTTTCCATTTTTCATCAGTGCCAGTACGTCCAATATGGCGAAGATCGAGGAGATGGAGCGGTTACTCCGAGAGGCCCAGGTTGAGAAGCAGAGGCTCCTCGAGCATCGGGTAACTTGTCAAACCTAACCAAAACTCACCGTGCATGTGGATGTGTGTGTGTTTGATGATGAATGCAATTTGCTCTATGTGGCATATGCAGGAGCGCGAGATGGAGATGCGCAGGCAGGCTCTGGAGGAGGAGCGAAGAAGACGGGAGGAACTAGAAAAACGACTGCAGGAGGAGACGAGCAGGAGACAGAGACTTGTGGAGAGAGAAGTGAAACTCAGGGAGAAACAAAGATCACAGGTATTCAGAATAACAAGAGGTTCAAATCTGATGGGGTTTTTTGCTTCATGTAAATAACAAAGTAGTGCCCAATATTCACATCTGTTATGTAATTTCAATGCTTTTTCCATAGTCCCGGCTGTTGACTCGCTACCTCCCTGTAAGGAAAGACGACTTTGATCTTCATGGCCATATTGAGGCAGCTGGACACAACCCAGATGCCTGCTTCCATCTGGCCATCACTGATAAAACCTGTCGAGGCTTTCTGGTCAAAATGGGCGGAAAGATCAAGACCTGGAAGAAACGCTGGTTTGTCTTCGACCAGAATCGCAGGACGCTCACCTACTATGCAGGTGAGTAACTCTTCCTCTCAATTCTCTGTTTAAAGTCTGAGACAAAGTTACTGCAACCATATCAGGATACTTTGGATGCTGAGAACGAGCTTTGATCACAGTGTTAGTGGTCCATAAACTGTTCTGTTTATATTATCTGCTTCAGACAAACATGAGACCAAGATGAAAGGAGTCATTTACTTCCAAGCCATAGAGGAGGTGTACTATGACCATTTAAAGAATGCACACAAAGTGAGTCAGTTCATGTGCACGTGTCTGTGATGTTTAGCATCTGGCAACGTCTACATATCATTTTCTCTGAATATTGTTGACATCTGTTTTTCCTCTGCCTTTCTCCCTTCATTTCTCCCTCCCACACATATGCACAACCTCGCCCCTCTCCCTTCTACTCTCCATTATTTCACTTTTGTTTCTCAAAATTACATTCACTACCCGAGAGCCCCAACCCCTCGCTGACCTTCAGTGTGAAGACCCACGATCGGGTGTACTACATGGTCGCTCCGTCGCCTGAGGCCATGCGTATCTGGATGGATGTTATGGTTACGGGTGCTGAAGGACACATGCATTTCATGGTGTAACTGATCCCAACAGATCAGGGTACACGCCGCTAGATTCCTTTGGTAAACATTGTGACACATGAGACGGTCCCTCTGCACTCTGCTTGTGTCAGCAGCAAACAACAGCGTTGTGTAGAACTGAGATTGGATGTTCATCAGGTCAACAAAAAATGAACTTCTGTTTACACTTGTAGTATTTGTAGCCTACTACTCATGCTCAAAAGCACACTTTATAATGCAATTATGTGTAACAGATCAAATGAATCGATATACCAGTTTCATAATTAAGCTATTTAGGTTGTTTTTTTATTTTGTTTATGTACCGTGATTTGCTGAAGCATCACTAAATGTTGCTTTTCCCTTTTTCCAACTTTCTCCCTCCTTTTATAAAATCTCTGCTTGTCTCATATTCTCCATGTTATTTTTGGCTTTTGTTCAGACAAAACTTCAGGGATCAGGAAAGCTTCTAAATGATCAGAAACCCAACGTCTGCTACATTTCTAAACCGTGGTACACACTGATTGTGCTTCACTATAACAGATCTGTCTAACAGCTTTCTATAAACTGCAGCATTTTGTAATGTACGTATCCAATATTTAAGTTGTAGGTCCACCTCTGTTTCTTTGCCTTCTTCTTTGTCTTCGCTCCTCTTAACTTGTGGTTGGACTTTACAGTGTTTTTATTCTACAGTATATCTTAGTCAAACTCAAATGTATTTTCCCTTTGTATGTCTGAATGCCTGAATCAGAGGGTCACAACTTCTTCCTGATCTTTTCACAGATCATCTGCTCCGTATCAGTGGTTGCAAGAATGCACATTTTTATTTTAACTCAGATTTATTATTTCTATATTGACACTAATAATCAAATTTAATTAGTGTAAGTATTATTTTACATAGTTAACTCAAGCATTTTGATTGCTGCTGCCAAACTATCAGCATAACCTGGTCTTATTTAAAGCAAGGCTGAATGTCCACCATCAGTATTTCTTCAAACCAGATACATCTCTCTCTCCTTGCATCAGCTTTCATTCCTGTGAGTCTTAATTTGGGGTTTACTTCATTCATGAAGGAGAGATGATTAGAGGCACTTTTTACATTTTATTGTTATGTATTTTTAGCAAACATGCTACTCATAAAAGTAGTAACGTTTGCCCAAATCACATTGGTACTGTGTTTCATGCCACTGTGCAGCTATCTCCCTCTATCTATAGTAGTAGCTGGAGGCCTGATATGATAAGGCCATGTTGTGCAGTAGTGATGCTATATGTACTGCGTCACCCACATTTTCCTTGGCATTTCATTTTGTTTTTTCACCAGCAGAGGTCCTCAGTGCAGAGCTATTGCACTGAAATGACGTAATGCTCTGGCTGGCAGGCCCATACTCACTTAACTAAATGAGCAGTTCCTGAAGCATCACTTGGAGGATGGAGCGTCAATGATCCATATTTTCCAATGCTATATGTATATCTATAAATATGTGCATTTATAAGCACATGTATATCAAGCTTAAGATTTGCTTTTTTTGAAAGCAAAACATAAATCATTATTATGATCTTGAACACACAGTGATTTTTATCATTTTGATTTAAATGTGTTATAAAATCAATATATTTGATCTGTATATTCTTTGACTATTTGCAGTCTGACTGTATTTGATAATGAATGATCACTTTAACACCAAGTGACCAGCTGTTGGTTTACAGACTGCAGATCAGGCTGCAGGGCTGACAGTGTTGCAGATGAGCTGTTGCCTTTGCTGGATGCTTCTCAGTGAACAGAGATATCTGTCATGTTAACATCTCATCCACAGCCTGTCGTCCACTGTATGAGACACAAGCCTTGAAACCAAACAAATGGCCGCTTTGATATATATTTCTAAAAAATTTAGTATTTTATATTTTGTATACGACTGGCGGTAATTTTAGTCAAGACTATGCCACGTGTTTTTATAATTGACACTTCTCATGTTTCAGTATGAATAAGAATAAATAACTTTGATTGTGACGCATATTTGTGAAATGTTATGGTAACTTTGTCTGTTGAACATTATGTTACACAGGCTGTAAAAACCTGCTCATGTAAAATACTGCAGGATAAATGGACTCTTGTGTTTTGCTTTGTATGTTGAAGCACTGAAAAGAAGCTTTATGAATCCCAACACGGCAAGATGATGTGTTTTCCCATGGATATTGAGTACCATAGCATTGTTTTTACACTGTTATGTAATGTATCACCATGGGAGTCTATGGCCTTATTATACTGTATATGGCTGCATAATGCCCCTGTAGTGCAGTGTAACTAGACTCAAACCTCTTAAAGGAATCTGCCTTTTGTTTATCTTATAATAGCCTTTATGAGAGTCAATGCTACCATTACTGTGGCATTTTGTGCCAATTCACCAGTTCCCAGTATACTTGTCTGAAATGTCTCAGAAACTCAAAAATAAGATTTTTCTGGGAATGTAATACTATCTACCATACTACTCAGTGTGGTGCAGCCACAACTCACCAAATTATTTAGCTTTTTGACAGCATATTCAATAAATCACATTGTGTAGGTGTTTAGGATGGGTGTCTTCTGCTGGGTTTCACTTCATCCACAGACATACAATTCAGCATTGTTTATTTGTTTTTCTACTTGACTGGTTTAGCTCAGGTCAGTGCAAAAACTGTGTACAGTGGAGCATTATTATGATACACTAAACTGTTATAATGCAATAATTCCATTTTAAATGGTGTCAAAAGTAATAACTGATCTAATTAGCATGTAAACTGTGCGTGTGCTCATTAAGGCACTCATGGTTTTAAACTCCTCCTCCTGCCTTTCATTGGTTGACCTACTGGGGTTGGCATGGAAACACAGAATGAAGCATGCTAAATTAGGTTCTAAAGAGGCGCATCGTCTCTCCAGAGGCAGAAGTAGACACAAACATACAGATCATAGAAAGCCAGGGTGGCCTCAGTGCATTATGGGTGCTGTTGATCTGTATAACATATTTAAGGGAAGGGGCTGGTCTTAAAGGTACACCAACAACCTATAAACAGAGGTACTCAGACAGCTTATGCAATAGCTCAAAAGTTTATTCCTGCATGTTCCCTGGTTGTACTTCACTTAAGGCTGTTGTCATTATAACTTACAGTATAAGCATGAAAGCCACACTGCTGGGAAATCATGTGAATGAATGCTGACAAAAGGCAGCATTCAGTGAATATGCCTGTTTCAGTTTCCTCTTTGAAACTGTAGGAATCATATTCACACCAGCCGTTTCCTCTAATGGAGAGCATAATGTAATTTTTCACACTGTGGCACAATGTGAGCCCTCATAAGCAGTCTGATCTCTGCTCTAACAGGCCTGATTATAAATCTACATGCTGTTTAAGCCAATTTTCAAACATTTTAATCCCAAATTGCAGGTGTTAGCAAGAAGCAAACCTGTGTTATGTCAAAGCCTCAGGGGGAAACTGTTCTTTTTCTCAGGGAGATACTTTTACCCTCTGTAGTCTGCATCAGCACCTGATGTGGTGAAATCCTCGTGTTTTTCTCAGGCAAATGATGGTTCTCTCTTCTCAGCTTGCAGCCTCTGGCTTTCGTAAAGTAAACAGAGGTCTTTTTGTGTCACATCCACGATGCTTTTTTTGTAAAAAATTCACCCTTTGTCCTTTACTCCTTACTCCTAACATCAGACTCCTCTAAACATTGCCCCATGACTCAGATCAACTTCCCATCCTTAACCTGCGCTTTTAGTCACACCAATAATAGCTGTTAGAGTTGCTTTTCAGTGTTTTTTTTCCTGCATTTACTTCCTTTGTGCAGCATTGTAAGTAGTTCACTCCAGCCTTTTGTGTTCAAATAATGATCTGCATTTTGTTCTTTTCTGCAATGATATCAAACTGATACTAAACGTCTAAATCAAGTGATCCACTCAGTCTAGGGGTTGTTATTCAGCAGATGCATTGGTGCATTTCACACTAAGAATAGCAATGACACACATTTCCAAACCCTTTTCCTGATAATAAGGTATGCATGTTAAGCGTTTTCCCTCGCGGCTGATTGGCCAGGCTCTGCTGACATTCATGTGCTCGCTATTCAGGTCAGTGAGCTTTGAGTGTGGATGATGTTTGAATTGTGTTCTTATGAGGACACTCTGAGCGCAGGCTGTAGTAAGATGGTGAGCCACTGTGAGGATTTGTCAGTAAAAATATAAAATGTTTGACATTTCTCTTTACTATGATCTGTAGCTTTTAGCTAGATGACAGAGTTATGTAATTTCCTTCCACATAAGATGAACTCAAAAGATGATGTATTCCTAATACAGAGACAGTAAATCCCTTTAAACTGTATGTGGTCACATTTCTTATCTGGAAAAGTAGATAAAATACATTTGACAACTTAAACAGATCTCATCTTGCTAATTACTCATATTGTTTTATTGATTAAATAGTAAACATAACAACATATATGAGACTATACACAGATATTGTTCTCATCTGGTGGGGTAAGGATAAGGATATGCCAGTGTACGAGCTGGAGATCTCATCTCAGCATCCTCTGTCTTATTCAAATGTCCACAGGGCCATTCATAATGGCTGCTGCCCACTGTCCATTTCATTGGAAGGAGTTATTTCCATTCCTCCCTTAAAACCAGTCTCTCCCATAGTTCACAGTGAGATCAGATCAGGTTACATATGAGCAGACGGACACACAGGCGCTGTACAGTTCAACATCTTGTGCAAATATTAATGGCACGTTTTCTGCTACATACATCCAGAGATAGGTGTGGAATGTAAATTTGGTTGTTTTGCATTAATTTATAGAGCTCCTGCAGTTTTTCTCCTGGCATAAATAAATACGTAAAGGGACTGGTTATTATCAAAGAGACTTGCTTGAAAGAAAGACAAAAAAGATTTGACGGTTCCTACAAAAAGTGGGAGTAACAAAAGTTAAAAGTACTGTAGAAAAGACTGAACAAATTCTGAGAGTCTGTAGGAAAAGCACCCTTAAAAAGGCACTCGCCCATATTGTGTGTGTGACTGTGTTCGCAGAAGACCTTTAATCTTGCTTATCCTTAGTAACCGATGCTGCTGCGTGTTCAGGTGTGACCCTGAACCTTTCCTGAGTGCATGTCCAGTTGGCTCAGCACCAAAGAGCCAGGCTTTTTGCTTTGGCTCCCTGTGGAGAGGTTTTGTGCTTGAGTGCTGTCAGCCTCCTTGACTCTGTTACTGTTACTTATGATGTAGTGAAGCCAAGAGATGACAGAGAGACAAGCCAAGACAGTTATAGTATAGAAATATGAATTAAAAAAGAGTGGCCATGTAGTTATATTGGGAAAAAAATTGCAGTCAAAGCCATAATCTGTATTGTTGATTGATCAGTCCATTGTTTCATTTTCTTATCTGTGTGCTGCCACCCGTAGCTGCAGGTTTATTACCAACCCTGCGGACAGGAACCTTGGACATGGGTATCTTGGTGCGAGGGGGTTCTTTTGCTTGAGGGATTTGAGAGGCAGTGTGAGACTGTGCGCAATGCTTCACAGGGATCTTTGAGTCACGCGGTGAACTGGTGAGAACTTTCGGCTGTGGAGGGTGCTGACTCTCCTCCTGGGTGTGTTTTGAGGTGGGCACAATTGCCCCAACATCACTGATTTTATCTTTGCTCCCTGCATCATGTGAGTTGAAATGGGGCCTCTCTTCTTCTAGCACAGGGGTAGGTGGTTCCCTTCTTGCTTCATCATCAACATGTTGACTCTCCCGGACGGGTAGCTTACCTGGTCTCCCCCCTCCAACTACAGGTATTTTGCTAAGTCCTGATGGCTTTATTTGTGTTGTCCTCTTTTCTCTTGAGGGGCCCTGGAGGCTTGTTCGTGATTCATTGTGTAGTTCATCTGTTTTGGACGGCACTGTCTGGGCCCCCTGGAAACCTGTGCTACTTGGACTTGCTAGTTGCCCATCCACTGATGCCTGTCCATTTCCTCTCATCCTAGCAGAGGCTGGGGCCTCACTTGGGCATGGTGCAGGGGTAGAAGAAACAGAAGTGACAGGGTAATGGGCAGGGGCAGAGGTAGGTGCAAGAGGGGCTTTAGATTGAAGAAATGGGATCTGAGCAGGAGTAGGAGGTTCTTTAGATACAGAAACTGGGATCTGAGCAGGTACAGGAGGATCTTTAGATACAGAAATTGGGATACAAACAGGTGTAGGGCGATCTTTAGATACAGAAACAGGGATATGAGCAGGAGCAGCAGGAGCAGCAGGAGCAGCAGGAGCAGGACGATCTTTAGATACAGAAACTGGGATCTGAGCAGGAGCAGGAGGATCTTTAGATACGGAAACTGGGATCTGAGCAGGAGCAGGAGGAGTTTTAGATACAGAAACTGGGATTTGAGCAGAAGCAGGAGGATCTTTAGATACAGAAACTGGGATCTGAGCAGGAGCAGGAGGATCTTTAGATACAGAAACTGGGATCTGAGCTGGAGCAGGAGGATCTTTAGATACAGAAACTGAGATCTGAGCTGGAACAGGAGGTTCTTTAGATACAGAAATTGGGGTACAAACAGGTGCAGGAGGATCTTTAGTTAGAGAAACTGGGATCTTAGCAGGGGCAGGAGGTGTTTTAGATTGAGAAACTTGAATTTGAGCAGGAGTGGGGGGCTCTTTACACACAGAAACTGGGATTTGAGCGGGGGCAGGAGGGGATTTAGATGCAGAAACTGGCATCTGAGCAGGGGCAGGCGGCTCTTTAGATACAGAAATTTTGATTTGCGCAGGAGCAGAAGGGGCTTTAGCTTGAGACACAGGGATCTGACCCAGAGCAGGAGGTGTTGGGGATGCTGTAGACACAACAGCATGAGTGGTAGGGGCTGAAATTGGCGTGGGAGTAGGGGGCATCTTGTCTAAAGAGACTGGTGCAGGAGTGGGTTTAGTTGTGGGAGGAATCTTATCTGAAGAAGTTAAAGGTGGAGTTGGGACAGATGCAGGGCTGGATTGGGTTTTAGTTGTGGCAGTCGGGGTAGAGGAAGAACCAAGATGTGGAACAGTTACAAGGAAGGGAGGGGTCTTACTTAAGTCCAGTGGGCTAGAGGTGAGTACAGGCTTCGAAAGGGCCACAGATGCCGAGCTTGAGGTTGTAGTTGATGTGGGAAACGTTGTCATCTTGGAGAGGATAACCGGTGAAGAGGACGGTTTGGTTGTAACAGTACAGGCTGGTGATACTGTCACTGGGGCTTTATATTCTCCTGCAGCTGAACTTAGGGAAGGTTTGAAGGAAGTGAAGGTTTGCAGGTTCAAATTGCTAGCTGAATCTAATTTGGTAGGTGGAGGTTGAGTAAAAGCTACTGGGGCGGGAGGGCTATGGGTGACAGGTGGAGGTTTAGCTGGCGCAGGAGATGGAGTAGCTACAAGGCTAGATTTATTTACTGGAGGAGTCATTGGAGTAGGCGCTGCAATCTCTGAAGCCAACTTGCTGACCGTAGAGGTAAGAGTTGGACTAACTGAGGGAGCCTTGATTACAGTGGCCGGGGTGTTCGGAGGGGCGGAGGTGGAACTTGGTGTGGATTTAATTGTCGTCGAAAAGGAAGACATTATTGGAAGGCTTGATGTTGTTACAGGGGTAGTTGAAGGTTTTCCTGCAATAGGTGTAGGAGTTGATTTAATTTTAACGCTGGTAAAAGTCTCAGCGGCTTTAGAAGAGTCTGAAGTCAGTTTGACTGAGTTAGTAGTCAAAGTGGAAGTTTTGGTCAACGTTGTGATGATGGCACTCGGCTTGGCAACGGGAGAAGAGGATGGCGTTGTCTTTGTCAGAGGGGTAAAGGATTTGGTCGACGCTGTTGTGGGGACAGCTACAGGAGAGGGTTTTGCCGTAACAGCCGTGCTGACAAAGGTAGAAGTCAATGGAAAGGAGGGGGTGGGTTTGGAGAAAAGAGATGTGGATGATGGCGAGACTTCAGTCACAGCAGCACTGATGGCACTGCTGGCTTTTCCCCACTCTGCCTCTACATCAGCCATGATGTCTCCACCCCCTGAGATTGAGTCAAAGGTCAGGAGAGAAGAGATGTCTGCCAGCAAGCAGCTCAGGCTACTATCACCAGGTACCATGGGTGGTTCAGAGGTGGGTAAAGGCGGCACATACTCATTAGTTCTACTCACATTGCCTGCTGTCACCTGGGGTGTTATAGTCTCTGATGGGGTCGTGGCTGCACTGTCCTGTGTTGTGAAGCTCCTGATGGGCTCACAACTCTCAGTCTCTGGGCTGTCCAGAGAGCGAGGCTGGGATTTGGGAGTGAGGGTGAGGTCCTCTTTGATGATTTCCACACTGTTGGCACGGGACGACATGAGAAGTGGGCTCGGAGGAGCTTCCTCCTTCTCCTCTTTATCCTTTGATCGGAACATAACATTGCCAAAGAGACCCTTCAGCCCTCGACGTTGCCGACCCACTGGCTGGGACACGGTGTGGACTCTGCGGTCCCCTACTCCTCTCCGGCCACCCCTCAGTAACGACAGGAAGCTGAGGGACTTGGCTGAGCTTGCCGAAGAAATGGAGGTGCGAGCATGGGCGGCAGCTAGAACGCCATCTTCGCCAAGCTGCTCCTCCTCTGCCTGCTCCCTCTCTCCTTGACTCACCTCATGTCCCTGTTCCTTGTCTGGCTCCGGCTCTGAATCTGGTGCAGTGGTCTCCGATAATCCATCTTGGGTTTTGCTCCTGTTAACAGGTGACTTGTTGTTTCCATCCCCTTTGCTTCGAATAGAAAAGATGTTACCTGGCTTGCGTTTGCCAAACAGCTTGAATCCTTTTCTGATTTTTCCACTCGACTGGGATTCACAAGGCGGGGGGTCCATGTTATCCGTTTGTACATCCATCTTCTCTCTGTTTCCCCCTTTCTCTGTATCCTTCTGTCACTTGCTGCGGTTATTATTCCCCAGTCAGTAGTGTGAGCATTTATATCCAGACGTTATCTTTATCTGTGTCCGTAGCCTTGCTTTACCTCTGGTGCTCCAGTGTGTTTCTTTATCGGCTGTCTGTATCCCTCCCTCTTTCTATCTTTCCCATCCAGCCCTTTCTCCTCTATTTCTCCCTTGGAAGCCCCTCCCCTTTGCCTCGTTTTTGTCTGGCTGCACTCCCTTGTTGCCATAGCAACTGAGGAGCTAAGCAGCTTTCGTCAGCAATGCAGAGCCAGGGGCTGTGATCAACCCACCCTGAACGCAGCTCTCTCTTCCTCTCTGTCTGATGACTCTGTTTACATAAACAGCAAAGACAAATACTCCATTAATAGGGCCAAATTTTGAATTCCGAATGATCTGGCTTTATATAAACATTTCATCCAGATTAATGCAATGTGCTTCTATATGCAGCCTAATAATCTTTTAATGGAACAGATCAGATTTTTAGGGTCTTATTCACAGCTATTGTTTCGCAGCAACCTACAGTAACTCATCCCCGTCTGTTAAATATTTTATATAACCTCATAAAATTTTATAACTAGTTAGTGTAACAATTTATTAAATTCTAGTTTGGGAGATAATTAGCATTTTGACCTATATGCCTATTTGTACAGTATTTTCCTCTTCTATCCACATATGACTTTGGAAAGCATAATTTTAGCACCTATTAATAAAGTGTATTAAAACAAATGTAATACTTCCTGTGAAGTGTGAATGTAGCTATTACTGTCATAAAATCAAATTAAAAACGATTAAGTGTGTGACCTTTTGAACATCTTAACAGAGTCAAAAACAGTCCTGAAGACAATCGAGCCATTGAGAATGATTACATAATCAGGAGTGAATGAATAGATTTTATTTAAAAGGAAAAAAGGAAAACAGGACAGGGGAAGAAATGTAACTATATTTGGTAGTGTTTATACGATCTATCCTATTATCTGCTTTTGTCATTATTGTTTTAATTTGAGCATTTCCCCTTAGAATTCCAACATGCAGTAGAAGCTGAGATGAATCACATTATATGCAATCCTCTAATTGACACAGTGCTCAAGCTATTATTTATTTTCACACTTCAGGTGACTGATGTGACAAAACATTGTTTGGAATCTTATTTGCCAGTATATAGGAATAAATACCACATAAATGGCCTGATCATCTGAGCATCTCGTTAGTAGATAAAGATAAGTGTTATCAGTTTAATGGATATTCTGCTTGCTTGGCACAAGCATTTATAGGTGGATTTATTTATTCCTTTTAAAATAAGCATGTGTAATAGTAGTTTACCCAGAAACTTGCTGTCTATATTGTTTTGAAATGTAAACCTTTTGTTTGGGTTGAACTGAACTGTTTTTTGTTTTTTTTTATAAATTATTCATGTGAGGCAACTAGTTTTTTATTACCAGGTTAATGAATGAGGGGTGGATGGGGTGGAACAAGCATGGCCTCTTGTGGTTGCGGAAGAAACAACATGTGGCATAGTTTGGCTTCATATGGCTGTAAAAAGTGCACAAAGTCTGAAAATAAAGCTGCTGTCTCATCCACAGGCATTCCTTGGCCCAAATAAGTCTGAGTAGTGTAAGTAGGTCGACAATCTTTTAACAAATCTTTTCCAGGCTGCTTTAAGACACAGTATGAGGTTTAAGGGTACAGTCGCACTGGTACACAGCTGTAGAGGATGAAGAAATAAGTACTGGTCTGTTTTTACAGGGGGGCATAAATGATTGCAGGAGAGGTGATTGACATGAGATTCACACTAAAATTTAATTTAAACTAAATTAAAAATGTTACAAATACCTTCTTGCTTCTCAGTGAACAAAAGAGAGAATAAATCCTTTTTATTAAATGCATTTATGTTTTGTGCTTAAATACTCAGTATAGGTTAATACATAAACCTGGGCACTGTAATGAATACATACAGTACATACATAGCCAACTAAGTGCTGTGTCAGTATTTACTGTCCACTTTTTCTACAAAAAAATACATCAGATGTCCTTGCAGGACTCATTTTAACATCTCCACAGCTCAGCCTAAATAACCATTACTATGATGACCGTGGTCTATTTTTCTCACACACACAAACATGCATTAACACAAATAAATAGGTGTTATTATTTTTGTTTTCTAAGAAAATGTAAATATCTTGTTCTTCCACACACAAATATTCATAAACCTACACATTACCAGTCCAAAAGATCACTTTGCCAGTCGGCAAATATACAGTATGCTGTTACAGTTGTTTGTAAAATCTGTATTTTGTAGGAAGGCTCTGTTCCTCTGATCCAGATATCAGTTAAAAGCTGAAACTACAATTACTGCTCTGTGGTTGTATACTTCCACCAACCAGTCAAGTTGCAGTTTACATCCACGTCTGCTGAGACTCACATAATATATAGGCTAAATATATATATATATGTATATATATAGCTACACATATAAACTATTTTAGGCTAAATTGAAGTTATCACTATATTGATGATAAATATGATTCCAATGAATATACTTGTTATAAAGGAAAGAAGGATTATCATAGATGTATTGGCTAAACAGGTACACATGTAATTAAATTCTATGTAAAGATGGATTCTTATGTAGAGAAAGCTATACTGCATATACAGCAAGAAACGTAATAAGTGCATGCTGTAAAATGTCTGTTCCTTTAAAGGGTTAATTCACCCAAATCAAAACGGGAAAAATACTACCTATCAGATAGTGTTGATTCATTTCCACATGTTTTTGAGATATCTGTCTCTAATTTGTGCTGCTCCAAACATGGAAAAACATGGAAACAAATCAACAGCCAGCATCTCTTTCCAGAATCAATGTCCTGTTTACTCTGGATAACCCATACACCTCACTGTGGGCAGTCTTTAGAGGGACTATTTCTTGGTTCGAAAGTAGTAATTTGGGTGAACCAACCCTTTACGTTACCTGTTATCTACAGAATACAGATATTGACAAATGTCAGTGAGTGCTGTGTGAAAAGTACAAAAAATAGGCTAAAAGTCACCCAAGTAGTTCTCTTCCCTTACATTACAGAATGCTGTAATATAAGGGAAAAAAACTGTTACATTATTACATTATTATTACAAAATGTAATACATGTACAAACTATGTGTGTCTGAAGATCATCATTAAAGAGCAGTGTTGACATCCACTCTGTCATTGTCTGTTTTTTAAACGTCATGCTCCACGAGAGCTGCCTGCACGGCAACTTTGGCATTCTGGTCGTTGTCATGTGCCTCAGAGGGAAGTTTGTCATATATACGACGGTACAAACACCGGTTGACCAGAGTGATGATGAACATCTCCATGATCATCATCTGCTGACTGAGCACTGCAGGACAGAGAGAGAGAAAGAGATGGATTATTTCACTGCACACATAAGCAGTGCATGCAGAAAGACATTCAGAGGTGTTTCTTACTGGATCCACGAGCTTGAGAAGAGAAGGGCGGAGCACAGGCGATGGTTCCATCCAAGGCCAGGATGTTAATGATAGATGTCTGCAGCTGACTCAGTACAAGTACTAGCTACAGAGAAAGGCAATGCCTGATCAGGTATACATACAGTTAAAGGTGCACTGTGTAACATCTCAAAAAATCTGTAGTGCTTTTTAGTGCTTATGTTTCTCTAAACTATATTTCCCATAAACACTGTCACTTTATTTATATTATAACATGTTGGCAGAGATCTCTCCACAATACTTTCACTCCTTTATTTGCTGTGGTAGGAAACTTAAGAAGAGCGCACAAAATGTCATAAAAGGAAGATATACTTAATTGTATAGTAAAAACATCAGAATTTTTCATCATTTTGAGACATAAATCAAGCCGTAAAACAATTTGACACAATTTGGGACTAAATTTGCAGTGAAACAACTTATTGATTTAAAAATTCTACACAGAATAGCAAATGCTGCTATTTTTCATGTCAAAGCGTACAAAGAGGTTTCCCCATGTTTACTCACTTGATACATGGCATACTTAGGTACAATCTTGATACTGCGCAGAAAGCTGTTAGTGTTCATGAAGATAATAGCAACAGGCCAAAGGGAGATGATTGTGAGAACGCCAATGAATGGGTTAATCCAAATGGCTGTACCAGTGATCTCAAGCTGAAAGAGAAGCAAAGAAATATCTTGATAATTTCCTGTCATGTTCATTTAATTTTCAGCACAGTCAGATATGTATAGTGAAGCATTTCAAACACTTACATCAGAGAGATCAAAGTTGCCGTTTGTCCACAACACTATGGCAAGGACAGAGAGAACTGTCTTTAGGATTGCATACTGAAGAGCTCCCAACTTCAGCCAGAATAACAATCGTCTGAATGATCCCATCCAAAGAAAGAGCCACATTAGAAATGTACACCACCATAAGACAATGTGCAGTCAATACAGAAGGAGTATAAAGAATATAGAACAGGATTAAATGGATCTGAATTTATGAGCATTAAAGAACACAGGCTTGAGTTTTTAGAGCCAGACCATTAGTATCCAGACTGTATATAGAAAAGGTTTGTACCGTGACATGGGCACGCGGGGTAAACAGACACAGCAGCAGCAGCAGGGTCCAACGTTGATCCTAAAGGTTTCACCAGAAAATCGCTTCAGAAAATCACTGCTGCCCCCAAACTCCTCGATTATCAGAACCAAGACCTTATACACCACGACTGCAAAATAACTACACAGAGAAAGAGAAGTCATTTAGGTCGGTTTATAGAGAGCAGGTACATATTATTCTCAAAAATCACTTTGGAGTACTCAACTTTATTTATACAGAATGTGATGTTATTTTTGACCTTTTTCAGCAAGTGAACCAAATTACAAATGTTGTATCTCATTTATTCATTTATTACAGAAAAACACACTTCTGACACGTGAGAACAAACCAAAACCACTAACAAGGATATAGGATTTTGACCCAGCTGTTAAACAAACTGTACTGTACACAGAAAGTGCATAAAAGTTATCACTGCAGGTGGCAAAATCCCATAAAGATTCCTTGCATTTTATTGGAGTTGAAGGCATGTTGTATGTGGCATGACCTTTGTGTATGTAATGATTCATGACAAGTGGTTTAACTATACAGTAATCAACAAGTAAGCTTTT